TGCAACCTCTGGCAGCGCACAACTCTCTGTGGGGCTTGGGCTGGGAGAAGAGCGCGGCCCAGCGGGCCCGGACGGTGTCACTCACAGCCCAGCCTCGCTCTCGCGGGTCAGCGACCAATGGGCATAGGCCGGGCCCGGGAGCGCGACCAGTGGGAGCCGGCGGGCGGAGGCGCGCTGCTCTTTAAGGAGTCCCTGGGCGCGGGGTCCCGGGAACCCGGCGCTTAGAGACGGGCATCGTCCAGGTTTAGCCGCCATGTCCCTGCAGGTGAGCTGGGTGTGCGCGCGCTGCTGCGGGCGGGGAGGAGCGTACGTCCAGGAGAAAAGCGCTCGAGTGGGGCGTGGGGCCGGCGTGACGCCCCCCGGGGTCGCGGCGCATCTCTGACCCGGCGCTTCGGGCAGCTGCTGCCAGTCGCCTTTGTCCCCGGTAGCTGTCCGCGGGGATTCCCGCCGAGACACGCCCACCCCATCGCCAGCGCCCCCTTATTGCGCGTAGTCCGCACCGGTGCATTCTGTTGACGGCGTGCCGGGCTCCCTATGGCAACTCTTATGAACCCCGGGGACTGGTTAGACGCAAACCAGGCACCGGCCGGGGGAGGACGGGCCCTGGGCTGCTCCCAGCGGCCCCGGCGGGCCCTGCCCAGCCATCTCTTCCCATCCTGGAGAGGGAGGTGTGGGCGGCTGCGGCCTCTCCTTGCTCCTTGGCACACGTAGGGGCTCTCCCAAGCTAGTGCAGAGATCTGGAAAACCACGGTCTTAAAATACTGTTCTTATGGTCTTTGGAGGAAAAAAAAAAGTTTATGTTCAGGGTGGAAAGTTGGGGGAAAGAGAACAAATGTAAAGTAAAAAAGAAAAAAGGGAAAGTGTTAGTTTCTCAGACCTGTCCGACTCTTTGTGACCCCGTGGACTGTAACCCGCCGGGCTCTTCTGTCCATGGAATTCTCCAGGCAAGAATATTGAAGTGGGTAGCCATTCTTTTCTCAAGGGGACCTTCCCAACCCAGGTATGAAACCAGGTGGATTCTTCACCAGGGAAGCCCATAATATAAAGTAGAACATCAGACATTCCTTCACCCAAGTGATAACCACATTAGCATTAGGTTACTTTCTCAAGTGTTCGAGAAACATCTATGTGATATGTGAATGTATATGTTTATACACACACTTTGCTTTTATATAATTTTGCTCTCTCGCTCTCTTTTTATTTGTACTATGAGCTTTCTGTCACCACTAAATATTCTTTAAAATTTTAAATGTCTGCATTGGGTACATGGCAGGATGCACCCCATGTGACCGTGGTGTGCCAGGGTCGGGGGGCCTTGTGAAAACGTGAACGGGAGAGGGTGTGAGGAGAGGTTTTAAGGCAGTTGTTTTGAAGACCCTTTAGGCACAGGCGCGGGGGAAATCCAGCGGGTCAGCTTTCAGCGAGGGTACTGAGGACCGGCTCCAGCAGAGTGAGCTCAGCGGAGGTTGAAATTCCTCACCCAAGCTGCGAGCCCAGCTCTGCAGCAGCACGGGAACATTATCCAACTTTCCCTTTGGCCCAGAGTGCTTGGAATTAAGTGTAAATGACTGTACCTTTAAATCCCTGTTTCTGGGATTTCCCTGGTAGTCCAGTGGTTAAGACTCTGTGCTTCCACTGCAAGGGGGTATAGATTCCATCCTTGGTCAGGGAACTAAGATCCTGCATGTGGTGAGGTGTGGCCAAATATTAAAAGAAAAAAAAAAATCTGTTTCTCACCTATGATAATTTCAGACCCTCCTAATATCTACTCACTTTTCTTTCATGTATTTAACAAGGAGGTACAGGGCTCAGATGGGCTTCTCCCACCTGCCATTACTCTGTAAGGCAAGGCTCTTGCTACTGAGATGAACGTTTGTGCCTATCCTCTGTTCTGGATACTTGGGGGAAACAAATACCTTCCCACCAGCCTTGTGCTGAGCCCTAATAAATACTGTTGGGTCTGCCTGGAACCCACTTCCCTGTCCCTGTCCATCCCCTAGGCACTGACCCCACCCCAGGCTCAGCTAAGCATCATCATCTCTGAGAAGGTGCCTTGCACCCTCACAACTGTTCCCTTCTCTGTGGTCCCAGGACACCCACTGCTCCTCTCCTTGAGCAAGTATCACATAATCACTGTGACCCACTCATCTCCCACAGGATGCTGAGCTTTGTGAAAGCTGGCTGCCCTGTTCATCCCTGTCTGCTCTCCCAAGGCCTGGCCCCTCAGAGGTGTTCAATACATATTGAATCAATAGTGTGATACAAGTGGTGAGCTCTGGGCTGGCAGAGTCAACAGGAAGAAGTCAAGAATATTTACGGTCTTTTTCTTGTTTCGTCCTCACACTTCCCGGCTAAGGTTGATGCCTTTTTTTTTTTTTTTTTTTTTTCAGCTGAAGCCAAATCTCATGGGAGCTCCATTGCTTACACAGAGTCCCAGGGCAGTGTGTCTCCAAGCTAGAATTAAAACCCAGGATCCTGACATGAGCCCAATGTTTTTCCCGCCACGGCTCATCGTGGCTGGGCTGGGAGAAGGCACATTGAAACTGCCACGTAAAACACGAGTGCATGACGTTGGAATGCCAGGGAAGGGCATGCTGGAGAGAAAGACTGACCCTGGGCCCTGCTCTGGAATGGGTTTTTCTCCTCTGCCTGGGGAGAGAGGAGAGAGGGGACCTTTGAAATTGCCTGGAAAATGGTCAAGGGCTCCACTTTTGGATAGAGAGGGTCCAAGACTTTCATGAGCTTGTTAGATGGTTCCATACCCCTCAAAACATGAAGCACAGTCTTCCAAAAACTCCTTCCTGGAAGGCAGAGACTTAGCAGGTTTCTGAGAAGCCTTAGAATTCATATCAAGGCTTAGCTTGCCAAAAGGACTTGAGTTGCTATCATTGGAAGATGGCACGAGACTTCACAGCAAATAGAACACCTGAGATGCCTGCCAACCCTGAAGGGAAGGATCCCTATACCTCCTGGACAGTCTTGCCCTGTCCTGCCCTTAGGAAGCTGAGGGAAGTAATGTAGCATTTTAACTTTGTCCTTATTATAGACACAATATGTGCATGCACATTATGGGAAATTTGGGGAGTATAGATGGTATTTAAAAAAAAAACAAACAGGAAACTTTCCAATAGAGGCCTTTAGTATTGACGCATTTGTATATTTGGATGTCTCTTCAAGATACTGATTTCATTTCCTTTGGATAAATACTCCAAAGTGGGGTTGCGAGATCATATGGTAGTTCTTTTTTAAATTTTTGAGGAAGCTTCATACTGTTTTCCACAGTGGCTGCACCAATTTACATTCCCACCAACAGTGTATGGGGTGCCCTTTTCGCCAAATCCTCATCAACACTGGTTATTTCTCGCCTTTTTGATCAGAGCCAGTCTTACAGATATGTCAGTCTTACAATATGTCATTGTTGTTTTGATTTGCATTTTCCTGATGCTTAATGATGTGTTCTGTGGAAAAATCTCCTGACTGTTTTAAAATCAGATTGTTTTGTTTTGCTTTTTTTTTTTTTTTTGCTGTTCAGTCATATGAGTTCTGTATATATTTTGGAAATTAGCCCCTTATCAGATAAACAGCTTGCAAATGTTTTGTCCCATTCAGTAGGTTGCCTTTTCATTTTGTTGATGGTTTCCTTTGCTATGCAGAAGTTTTCTGTTTGCTATAGTGTCCTGTGTTTATTTTTGTTTTAACTAGTTTTACTTTTGGTGTCACATCCAAAAATCATTGCTAAGAATGATGTCAAGGAACTTACTTTCGATCTCTTTTTCTAGTTGTTTACAGTTTTAAATCTTATGTTCAAATCTTTCATTCATTTTGAGCTGATTTTTGTATGTGGTGTAAGATGGGGTCCAGTCTCATTTTTTTGCTTGTGTATTCAGTTTTCCCAGAATTGTTGGCTGAAGACACTGTCCTTTCTGCAGTGTATATTCTTGGCTCCTTTGTCATAAATTGTGAGGCTGTCACGGCTAACACCATGACAGGCAGCCTAGATTAGGAGTAGGCCTGGTTTCCCGGGGTAACATAATTATCAGGCCTCCTGGAGCTAGCCAATCAACATATGCCTAGCAAGAAAAAGGGAACCTATCAGGGGAAAGCTGAAGGCCCCACGTTGGGCCAACAAAAATTGCCTTGCAACTGTGTAACCAATCCGCTTGCGCCAACTACCCGCTGTGTAACCAATCCACTTGCGCCAACTACCTGCTGCTTTTTTTGACCTAATAAATACCCGAGAGAACTGGGGCTCGGGGCCTTTTCGTCCTCACACCCTTGGTGAGGGCGGGAGGCCCTGGCTCGAGTCAGTAATAAATTCCCCTATTGCAAGTTGCATTGTTTCGAGGAGTCTTCTTTCCCAACCGGGGACTCGGACTACAGGCAGAACAAAATGAATTGACCATATATGCATGGGTTTATTTCTCGGCTCTTCACTCTGTTCCATGGATCTTTGTGTCCGTTTTTATGTCAGTACCATACTGTTTTGCTTACCACAGCTTGTAATATCATTTGAAATAAGGAATTGTGATGCCTCCAGCTTTGTTCTTCTTTCTCAAGATTGCTTTAGCTTTTATGGTTCTATACACATTTTGGGATTGCTTTTTCTCTCTCTGTGAAAAATGCCATTGGAATTTTGATAATGAAGTGCATTGAATTTGTTGATGACTTTGGGTAAGATGAACATTTTACTATTAATTTTTTCTATTCAAGAACAGGGAGTATCTTTCCATTTATTTATGTATTCAGTTTTTAAACATTTAGATAAACATTTTAAATATTAAGAATTTTATTTTGTTCTCTGTATCAAATATGTAGGTGCATTGTCCATGTAACAGGTAAGGACCAAAGGAAGTATCCACAAATTAAAATAAGGATAATCCTGGTAGAACCAGAGCAGTAATAGTTCATTTCTGATTGAAAGCTTCCTGTCCTCCTTAAGTTCTCCTGAAGCAGATAAACCTGCCTAAAGTTAGCAAATGCACTGTGTCTTTTTGTTTTAGGCTGATTTTGACAAGGCGGCCAAAGACGTGAGGAAGCTGAAAACCAGGCCAGATGATGAGGAACTAAAAGAGATCTATGGACTCTACAAACAGTCTGTAACTGGAGACATAGATATTGGTATTGTGCTGTCATATTAAAAAATAACAGTACACTTCCTTGAACAGTATAGAAGCATAGAATAACAAGTAACTCTGTGAATGTATCTATCCTTCTTTTGGCAGAGTGTCCAGCACTGTTAGATCTAAAAGGAAAGGCTAAGTGGGAAGCCTGGAACCTTCAAAAAGGTAGTTTTTAAGTGTTACATGAACCTTCTTAATTTCCACATACATCGGTCGGTGAGTCAACCTGTTTTGTATCTTTCTAGGATTATCAAAGGAAGATGCCATGAGTGCCTATATTTCTAAAGCAAAAGAGCTAATAGAAAAATATGGAATCTAGAATTCAGCCCATGAGAGAATTTTCCTTTTGAAGCCTTCATAATGGTATCGTGACCTAATACTTAGGAGAGATGCACTGTAGCTCTTGATGGATCATCAATATTTTTGCTAGTAACATGACTTGTCATTCTGAATTAGAGGTATGCTGAAACTACATGTTTAATAAAATTTTACTTGCTAAAACCAGGCAATTTTAAAGAATTATTTTTTAAAGTGTTGCTCTTGTAGTGTATACACAAAAACATTAGTTTTTAGTGTAGTGTATGTGTGTACACAAAAAGCTTGTTCTTTTGGCTTCTCTGAAAAACAAATCTAGCTTGCTTTCTAATCTGGAAAACTTGGGAAAGTTAAAGGTGATTCTCCTCTCTACTAAGTGTTGCCTAAAGACAGAAGTCTTCCATGATGAAGGTGACACCCTCTTCCAATGGAGGGCTCAGAAACTCTTTGAGCTGTTCCTGCATGGACCTCACCTCCACCCCAAAAGCCTGGCATCGGCCGCATCATGAGATTCCTATTTGTGGACTGTAGTAACTACAGGTTGTTCAAATGAATAACCACAAATCTAGATTCTTTTAGCACCAATCCTTCTAGAATGGAGCCCTGTATCCTACCAAAGAGTAAAGCACAGTTCAGTGCACACTAAATGGTGAACATAGTTTCTTGAGGTTACCTTTAACTCAAATGTATTGCATGAATTTTAACTCAAAACCCTCCCCCCTGACAATGAATTTTATATTATTTTCACTTTGTTAAAAAGAAACAATGGGGACTTCCCTGGTGGTCCAGTAGCTAAAACTTGGAGGTCCCAGTGCAGGGGCCTAGGTTTGTTCCCTGTTCAGGGAACTAGATCCCACATGCTGCAACTTAGAGTTCACATGCTGCAACTAAGACCCACTGCAGCCAAGTAAATAAATATTGAAAAGAATGATATATTCTAAAAAGTCCCTCTTGGGTGTATTTCCCTTAATCTTACTCACTAAGACTCTCTATATACTATTTTTAAACCAACAAAAACACGACCTATTATTATGTGATCCCAAACACATCCGTGCTTTAGAAGGTGACATTTTAGCATGTCAAGCTGTGTCAAGCTTTGGAAGCCGTAAGGAAGAGACACTGGTTGTGTGCAGTAGGGGTTTATTGTGAAGAACCAAGGGAGATAACAAATCAAGGTGCCAATTAAACAGCCAGGATTCCAAGAGACAAACACTGTTTGGGCCTCGGCAGAGATGGCAGGACTCACGTAGCCCTGGGGATATGGTGCCTCTCCATCCCGGGCAGTAGGCGTCTGTGAATCCTACCAGTGGTGGTCTGCCGTTGCTCTGACTCAGATCATTCTCCTACTTAATTTTTTCCCTTTTCTTTCCTGTATGTTTCCAACTGGTGTGCTTTCTTTCTCTGTCTGGTTCAGATGATAACACATGAAGCTGAGGCAGCCTGCTGGGTCTGGCATTTGTGCCTGACCCTCTGTACGCCGAGGACTAGACTCCAAACAGTCACCCGAGTCCCAGTTGGTCATTGCCTGAACAGCAGCAGGAACACACAGAGACAGCAGGCAGTCCAGGTTGGAGGAACCCCTTAGAGGAGAACCTAAGAAGGCTACAGGCATTCCGGGGACTTGCCAGGACAGGCAGCAATGATTATTTAGGGCTGTCTTATTTTAACATTTCCTCATTGAATGGGCTGACCCTGTATTTCAAAAGATGAGATCAGGCTTTGGGCCACAGTGTGTTAATGAAACAGTCATTTCATTTCAAGCACTTCCCCTGTCTGTGATTTTCACTGTCAGAATAACCGAAAGGAAGAGACGAATCATTGACCAAGCAGGAACTTCATTGACAAACCTTCCACAGATGAGACCCAAATGTGATTCTAATACAAAGAAGAAAGACCCTCCCGAAAGTATTCTTGACCCATTCATCTTGCATCCCCCAGATATGTAAATGCTCTGTGGGGAAATACATTTGTAGATAACACATCACCCTGACAGCAATAAATTGATCATTTTCCAATCTCTGAAACAAACTCCTAAGCTACTCTGAAAAACCGAAGAAGAGTATCACATGATCAGTGGGACTGTTTTAAGACCAAGAAGGGGCGATATCTGTTAAGAGGTAAGCACTGATATTTCTAGAGACTTGGTTATGTATTTCTTGATGAAGCTTGTGTTGGAAGTTTCCAGAAGATAGAAGTGGTGTCCTGGAAGCACAAAACTGTCAAAATTTCCACTGGTTACATCTTTCCAGGCTGAAAAAAACAGAATTTTATTTAATAACAAGTGACTCCACCACCCGCAGATTTACTTCCAGGTGTTACTTTTCTAAGAGCTGACATTGGTGGTAAGGTTACTTCCATGGTTTCATGTTCTGTGCATCCTGAATTTTTAATTTCTCAGAGACCTCTCAGTATACAGTGGTATTACCTGCCTTCTCTCATTTTACACAGAACTGACATCTCTCCATTTACACTAGATAAAACTGGGACCAGTTTTCTACTCCATGCAACTGCCAGTTGAGAGGTTTTTTGTTGTTTTTAACACTAATACTTTTGTTTGGCGTTTGTGCCCTGTACTGACCAGGCCATTTTTATACAAGTGAATTTTCTTAAAAAGACACTTACTTGAAGTATGGCAATAGTTTAAGGATAAAAAAAGAAGCATGGATATTACACATCCCCTTGTAGTGTATGAAAAAAGGTGCACGGCTGGATTTATGTACTAGTACAGGACATTTAAAAAAATCAGATCTGTGCTGCAAGGCCTGTCAGCACCTCTGGCATGGAAATCATCAGATATCTCAATAAAACACTTCAAGCCATCAAAATCATTTCACCTTCCATATCCACTGGTATATCTTCAGATCCAGAAAAGCATGTTATGTCACAAGAAAGACGAGTCTTAGAGTGTGTGTCATAGCTGCAAATATAAAGGTGCCGGTTGGTAATATTTCATAATAGACACCCCATAGAATCTTTTCCTATTAATAATTTCATTTAAATCAAAGTCCTCATTTCCTTCCCTTTTGCTGTTTACAGCAATACCAACATTTTATTTTTTTTTTATCCATGGCACTTTTATGTGTCAGCACCTGACAGTCACTGTGGTCCAGGTTATTTTCCAAGATCTTCTGGCTTCTAGAACAGCCAGGTGCAGGCAGGTGGCACCTGGACACCCAGTCCAACTCAAAATGGGGCTGGTTATATAGTATCTTCAACTGTCATTCCCCTGAAATGGCCACTTCTCTATCCCCCAGCCCTCCATTGTTTGGCATAGGGTTGCTGTGTGCAAAACAGATGCAGATTTATGGACAGAGGGCCCCTGAGTTGATTCTGCCGATTCTCAGTTTCATCAAAACAGCAGGAAACCATTTGCTGAGCTGGTGCTGGGGGCTGTGTTAGTCCCTAGGGACACTTGGGTAAGCACAGCCCCTTTCCTCCTGCCGCTTAGAGACTGGCTGGGGAGACAGACGTTAATGAAGTCGCCGGACGACTGAACAGATGGGTCACCAAGTTCAGGGTGATCTGTGAACACTTGACAAGTGGGGGTGGAGTGACATCCAGCAGGGACTCCCTGGAACATGGGGTTAGACTTGAGATCTGAATAGATAGGAAAAACTCAGCAACGGGCAGAGATGCCAGAGAAAGAGGGGCCAGAGCACAAACCAGGTGGCTTTTGTTCCATGAGTGAATGGAGGATTGGGACAAATTGAGGTAGAAGAAGGAAGCAAGAGGACTTTCCTGTGGTCCAGTGGTTAGGACTCTAAGCTTCCAATGCAAGGGGTGCAGGTTCAACCCTGGGTCAGGGAACTAGGATCCCACATGCAACGTGGTGTGACCAAAAAACAGAATAATAAGCAAGCGAGGGCCACGTGTAGGTCTCCTGAAGGGATCTGGTCATCCTAAGAGAGTCAGAAAGCCACCAAGAGGATTTAGGGCAAGGCACATCATGACCGGACTTGACAGTCATCCCTCTTGGTACAATGTGTAGAACAGACTGAAGGGGACAAAGGGTTGTCTCTTTCAATAGTCCGGGCAAGAATTCCCACTTCTGCCTGGAATGTAGAAAACCAGGAGTACCCCTTGCAGCCTAACAAGGAAAAATGCCTGACAAACTGCAAAACCATAAATTCTTGAACTCATCAGGAAGCTGAGTTTGCAAGGCAAACCAGATAGCGAACTCCAGGGAAGGCTGGGCCCCGCTAAGGAGAGGTGGGTCACACGGACTGGCTCATGTGGGCAGAGCACAGGATGAAGGGGTGTCTGCTGTCCATGTGGGTGAGAAAGAACAAGCTACAAATGCTCAAGTGCTGGGGACCAAGCGTGGGGTGATGTGTCAGAGGCAGCTCACACTGACTCACAGGCTCCTGTCCGTGGCCCCCCACGAGGGGTTCACAAGAAAGACTAGGAACAGGCAGGAGGTCAGAAATAGCCCTCTCTGCTGGGCAGGTGGACAGCAGGAAATTGGATGCGACCATGAGATGGACACTAACCCTGCCCCCAGTCAAGTCCTCCCCTCCTACTAAGCAGAAATCTCAGTTGCTGGAGGAGGGGCATCAAACACCCCCTGCATGCCCCCCGCCCAGGGCACATGGGAAGACCCATGGATGTAGGGGGTGGAAGCATTAACCCTCTACCCTGGGGGAAGGAATGGGAAGGGTCTTGGGCACCCTGTGCTGTGCTTAGTCACTCAGTCCTGTCCAACTCTTTGCAACCCCATGGACTGTAGCCCGCCAGGCTCCTCTGTCCATGGGGATTCTCCAGGCAAGAATACTGGAGTATGTTGCCGTGTCCTCCTCCAGGGGATCTTCCCAACCCAGGGGTCAAACCCAGTTCTCCCACAGGAAGGCAGATTCTTTACCATCTGAACCACCAGGGAAGCTCAAGAATACTGGAGAGGGTGGTCTATCCCTTCTTCAAGGGACCTTCGTGACCCAAGAATCAAACCAGGGTCTCCTGCACTGCAGGTGGATCCTTTACCAGCTGAGCTACCAGGCCCCCAATTCTATACAAAAGCCAAGGGAAAGTCTTCTACTTCTGGGGAGGGACTGGAAACTTCCACCCAATACCCACCAGACCCACCCACAAGCCCTAGACACAGAGGACCTGACTAAGACTGAAGCTGAAGATTGGCTCGGATATCCAAGAGCTCCCCGTGTTACCCCAGAGGCTAGCATCACACATAGGGGACCAAACAACAGCTGTCAGTTGGGGAGAGCCTGGAGAGACAGAAAAATTGAGAAAAATCCTCCAGTCTAGTCTCCACGGTAAGCACACAGTAACTTGGGAGAACCATTGCCCTGAAATGTAACCATAGTAGCAACAAAACCGAAACTCAGCTCCTCGCCAGTCTGGACTGACCCAACTCCCCACACTCAGGGCCTGCCGGAGGAGACGTGCTCAAATCATAAAGTATATTTATGTCAGTTTCATGCATGATATCCTTCAATAGAATATCTGTTTTATGCATGATACCTAGCTTTCAATTAAAAAAAAATTATCAGACACAAAAAGCAATATATAACCTCCATTGTTAAGAGGCAAAGTAATTAAAAGAATAAGACTTCCCAGGTGGCTCAGTGGTAAGTTACCCGCCTGCCAAAGCAGGAGACATAAAAGACTCCAGTTCAATCCGTGGATGGTGAAGATCCCTTGGAGGAGGGCATGGCAACCCACTCCAGTATTCTTGCTTGGAGAACCCCATGGGCAGAGGAGCCTGGCGGACTACAGTCCATAGGTTTGCAAAGAGTAGGACACGACTGAAGTAACTTAGCACACACGCACAAGACTCAAATAAGACCCAGATGTTGGAATTGTCAGAGAAGGGCTTGACAGTCGCTATGATGGAGATGCCAAAGGATTTCATGGAAAAAATGGACATATGTGAACAAATGGGGAAGTTCATTAAAGAGGTGAAGACTGCAAGAAAGAGTCCAAAAGAAATTCTAGAAATAAGCAGCAGCAGCGACAGGGCATTCCTTTGACAAGCTATTTAGTAGATTTGATAACGGCTGAGCAAAGAATCAGTCAACATGAAGATGGTTAATGGAAATTATCGAAACTGAAACGAAAAGAAAAAAAAGGAGAACATCTGAGAGCCCTGGGACGATGACAGCCAGCCTGACCTGTGTGTCGTCAGGGTCCCAGAGAGAGAAGAGGACTGTGCATTTGTCCGAGTAGGACAGGAGGACAGCTTGAGTGAAGTGGAGCTGCAAAGCCTTCCCTCCTGCCTCGGATTTTCCTTTTGACATCCAGGCTTTGAGCCTTGGGGGTGGGTGATGGGCAAGGAGGGGGTGGAGAGACATTTCAGGTCTGATTTCATGTATATTGGGAAAAGCTGAGTGCTGCGGAGAGCTGGAGAGAGGAGAGCAGACCGAGGAAGGGGAAGGAGCGGAAGCAGAAAGGGGAGAATCCAGAACAAGCTTAGGACATTTGAGATTTGGAGAGAGGAAGTGAATCCTTATAAGTAGCTCTTGAGGTTTGATTTGCTGGGGAGAGGGTGAGACTGTTAAAAAACTTTTTTTTTTTTTTTAATTCTGCAAGTGGAATATCCTCGTGAGTGACTTTTATTTTCAGTCTAGGGGAGGTTTCTTTTGAGAGCTCTTGAGAGTTTAGCTAAACTGCTTTATAATATCGGTGCCTCAGCATCCATGCTGTGTGGCCAGGCAGCTTGTGAGAGTCTGGACCTGACCCTCGGCCTTCCTGGGGCACGTGCAGAGTCACAAACACAGGTGAGTTCCTGTTGTGACCCTCCCCCAGCGGCCTAGGTGACAGTTGCTCCGGGCTCCCTAGAGCCTTCCCTTGTATACCTTTTAGATAAACCTCCCATGAAGTTGACCAAAACCCACTCTTTGGGGTTCAGGTTGACCAATCCGGACTTAGCCCGGGAGCCCCAAAGCCCTCCACGCACGCCTAAGGGCATGTCCATCAGGTCCAGCCACCTCTCTGCCTGCAGTCCGCCTTGACCTCCCCGTGTGGCCCCACGAGGTGCGCCGTGGACCTCCTCCACAACCCGTGAGTCATAAACTTCTCTATTTCAATTTCTCTCAGGGTCTGTGGTTGAACCTCGGCTCCCTTTCCAACACTCAGTGTTCTTCTTAACAAATGTTAATTCCCCAAAGTCACCAGAGCCTCTGGTAGTGAATTGTTGGGTTGGATTTTTAAAAATTGAGGGTGGTTTGTCATGTGCCATATCCACGCCATCTCCTAAACACGCCCTCCTTGCATCCTCATCTACCACGCCTTGAGGGATTTACTCTCAGCATCCCTTCCTCTGAGAGGCGGGACCCTGGATCCAGATCTCACAGCCACTAGGCCAGGGGTCTGGATCCTGGTGAACAGCCTCTGCAGAAGGATGTTTGTGCGAGGCTAATTAAAAAGCAGCTTTTGCCTATGCTATTTCACTGAATGTCCATAGTGCTTTGGATCACGTTTCCTTTGGTGGGAGTAGGGGATGTCGGACTTGGACTGGTGTTTCTTGGATTCTGACTTCATGCTAAGCCAGGAACACAGACAGCACAGCCCTGCGGGGACCACATTTGCTCAGACAGTTGGGGTAGAAATGGAGAGAGATGACAGACCAGGGCAGCTAGTGCCCCTAGTGGTGGAGTAGAGGTGGGCATCAGCGTGAACGCAGAGACGTGATAAAAAAGGAACAGGATTGTCTCTGTTTCCAAGGTGCTTCAAGTCTGCTCCACTTTTTCTTTTTTTTTTAAAGCTATTTGTATAAACTTCTACTCACAGGCACTGCCTGTGGAGGCTCTAGGTTCAGCTCCAGGCTTTGTGGCAGAAAGAAAAGGAACACAGACCCGTGTGTCCGGCTCCTCCCCAAAGGAGACAAGAGCCAGATGAAATTGCAGAAATGCATGATGGTATATAATAGTGACTGAGGGCCAAATGCTGGCCCCACAGGACCTGCTGTGGGGAGGTTAGAAAAGGAAGAACCTTGTGGTTTCAGTTTATTAGGGCCAGTATCTGGAACATTAGGACTTCAGTCCTATTAGAAGAATCAAATGTCAATGAGACCTCTCAGGAGACAGGAATAGTCAGGTGTCATGGAACCAAATGAGTTCTGGAACAAAATTCCCCCAAGAAGCAAACCACTCCCTTGTCTTGGATCACCTCCACATATTTAATAAGTAGGGATCCCCTTCTGCTGTTCCCCTAAGAAGATGAGCATCCTTTGACATTAGTAATTTATTCAACAAATGTTTTTTATGTGATAAAGCATACTGGATTGGCCAAAAAGTTCATTTGGGGATTTTGTAAGATCTTATGGAAAAACTTGAACAAACTTTTGGCCAACCCAACACACATTGAACCACATTTTTTTTAAAAAAAGCTAAAGATGCCCTGTTCATCCTTGATTAATGTAATTTCCATGCCCAGGCTCCATTTTAAGGCAGCAAAGATATCACAGGTGGGCCTCAAAAGAAAACAAGTCAAACTCTGCCTTCCTGGATAAGCATCCTCAGAGAACAGCCAACCTGCATCTTCCATAGATAAATTTTAAAAAAAGAAAGAAAGAAAACATGCCTCAATGACTTACATGACATCTTTCAAAATGTGAAGATCTGCTAACACTTTGGTAACAGATTCTTGAATCAGTTCCTCATCATCAACAAAATCCTCAGGAGTGCCTCCCATTTTCTTTAGTAAAAATTCAATTTGTCCAGCACACATATCATCTTTGAGGAAGCAAAGTTGGGCCTTTGACATGAAACAGTAAAAACATTACTCTGACATTTCATTTAAAGCACCTGTTCAGACCCTGAATGCTCTCTACTCTCCCTTTTGGTGATTTTGAGAGTTCTCTGATGAGGGCTTTCCTGGTGGTCCAGGGGTTAAGAATCTGCCTTGTGGGGAGTACAAGATGGCAGAGACATAGATGGACATGGAGTACATCTCTCTCCACGGATACATCAGGAATGCACCTTCAGACAAGAAGTGCTCACAGAACATCACCTGAAGGCAGACAGGAGTACCTGACCACCGGAAAAGAATCTGCCTTGGCAGTGCAGGGCACACTGGTTCAATCCCTGGTCCAGGAAGATCCCACATGCCGCGGATCAACTCAGCCTGTGTGACACAACTCCCGAGCCCGTGTGTGACACCTACTGAAGCCTGCGTGCCCTGGAGCTCCGTTCCACAACAAAAAAAGCCACCGCAGTGAGAAGCCTGCACCATAACTAGAGAAGAGCCCTGGCTCTCTGCAACTTAGAGGAAGTCGTGCACAGCAATGAGGACCCCGCACAGCCAAAAATAAACATTTTTTATTAAAAAAAAAAAAAAAAGAATGATCCAGTTAGCTTGCTGAAAGTTAAGTTCTCTGCTGACTCAGAATAGAGGAAAACACACTTAGAATCAATAGTTTGCATCGGAGATGCCTGGGCCAGTGCAGGCACTGACCAGGAAACAGTTAAAGTGCATTTCAGAGCAAAGATGAGAAGATGACAGTGAAAGAGATTTGTGAGTGTTTCGTTAACCAATAGTATCTTTTATTCATCACCATGTCTACTGTTGATCAAAACTCATCAGAAAGAAAAACAATGAGTTGATTTCCCCACTGCACTTCCCTCCTTCCCACCACCCTCCCTAAGGAAAATGAAATTACTTACGCAAGGAGGGCTTATACTTGACACAAATAAATGTACTGGTTCTAGATTATATTTTTCTTTCAGATGTAGTGCAGTAAAAAAGGCAATATAAGATCCCATACTACATTTGGGGAAGAAAAACATGACAATAACTATTCAATGAAATTCATGGTAATATATCAGAAGTCTACAAGAACTCATAAACACAGCAATGATCATGAAACAGATCGAAGGAGAGCTTACATTAGTTGAATAATAGCTAACTTATTTGTAAATGGTAGGTTTTCAATGATTTGCAGCAACATCAGCAGTGTTTCAAGACATCCTAGATAATTCAAACTAAGATGGAATACTGATTTCCACCATGTATTGAAATTAATTTAAATCTCCTTTCCTCCCTGAAAGATAGATGTCACTATGTATTTAATATTTATCAGCAGTTTTCAAGGTATAGTCTGGGGACTTCCAGGAGTTCCTGTTACCTTTTCAGGTGGTCTGTGAGGTTAAAGCCATTTTTAGAATATTGCTAAAATGTTTCCCTTTTAAACTCTTTTTTTTTTTTTTTTTTACGAGAGCATAGTTGAGTTGTTCCATACACCACGTATGTCATGGGTTATCAGCACAGTTGGAATGCAAAGAGAGAATCTTAGCTGCCTTCTAATAAGCCAGACATGTGTGCCAGAGTGTACCAAATGTGTGCCAAAGTGTAAAATAGTGCCACTCTTCTCACAGTGCTTTTTTGGGAAAATATAGTCTTGCATAAAATATGTATTCTTTATATCAGCATATAAGGGGATTATTAATGTTAAGTATCTTGAAAGTTTCATAGTTTTATTTTCTAATATGGTAAATATTGATGGTTAAACCACACATAAAATCTCGTTGATCCCCTCAATGCTTCCAGAAGTATTGGGTTGGCCAAAAGGCTTGTCTGGGTTTTTCCATACCATGTTACAGAAACACCTGAATGAACCTTTTGGTCAACCCAATATTAAAGCAATGCCAGGAATAAAAAGTTTGTGAACTGCTGTAGACATTATGTAGTTATATTCTGTAGACAGTATTGATTAAGCAATGAACAAAGGAAACTAAGTTCCATGGTCATTGCCGCTGGAGTGTAAACTGAAAGTGATCTGGAAATTTCTATCAAGTGCTCTATCAATGTGTGTATCATTAACCTAAATTCTGGACATGTGGTCCTTAAGAAATTTATAAGAAATGTATACTAAATTTTCTACAAAAATGTCATCAAAGTGCTTTTATAATAGAAATAATTCTTCTCTTAAAAGGAATTGACAAAATCATCTTGCAGCAATTACAGATCTCCATAGCAATAGTTTAAGTGGGGGGAAAAAATAGGGAGAAATATAAAATAGCATCCCAACATGCAAAAATACTGTGGAGCCGTATCAAAATTCTGAAAGATTATCTGGGATAATGGATGCTTCAATTTTTCTTTTTTTCTTTTTTGCTCAATTGTATCTGTAAATATATGTAATACAGGAGCCAAAATGTACCAAGTCCTTACCATAATTAATACCAAGCAATTCATGGTTATTATTCATTTAATCCTCAGAAATGGAGCCATCATCATTCCGGCTTCCCAGAGGAAGAAACTTAATTCAGAAACCCAAGGAAGTTGCCGAAGATCAAACTGAGTAACAGGCAGACAGAATTCTGATATTTATGACTTAACCTTAAAATTCTACAGACTAGCTTAAGAAATACATACTATTTATATCCTTTTATATTTTAAAAATAAATGGGATATATGTTGCTGCTGGAGTCTTGATTTTACAAACCTTAATGCTTTCTACCTAAAAGGGGAAAAAAGTCAGATGACTGTACAGACTGGCCAATTGTAAGAGCCGTGGCTGGTCAGAGTTACCCAACATGCTGGGACTATTTTCAAAAGAGAAGATACCAAGAGAAGCCTAGGATTTACACAAACCTGAAGGAGAGGTTTCAGTTCATTTCAGCACTAGGCCTTTCCATCTTTTCGGTCCCTACTAGGACTTCTTTCAGTCTGACTTTCTCATTTGAGAAGATCTCTAACTATACTGAATGAATCATTCTTTCAAGCAGTGGTAAAACATCAAAACCAAACTAAAACAAAGGCACACATCCCATAAGACACAGAGGACAACATTAACCATTGATCTGTGGTGGAGAAAAGTCCCCCAAATGTTTTTCAAAACAGAGGTTTAAAAACAACAACAACAACAGTAAAAAAAATTAAAAACAGAGGTTAAATACCTGTGGCCAAAAAATGCAAAATGTTCACCCTGGATGATCGGCAGTAGGGCACAGGCAATTTCATCAACCACCTGATTCATGTCACTTGCAAAAGGTTCGTCAAGCCGGCTTTCTCTCCCAGCAAGCCGTATGGCATGCACTGAAAGTAAAGGAAGACAGTTAATGTGTGCAGATGGTGGGAGGGTTGCTGTGATACTGTGAAAGGGCTTAAGTTAATATGGTGGGAAGAGTTTCAAAGATGTGAATAATAGTAGTCAAATGTAAGGAGAGAAAAATTTTAGAATTTGCTGATTAAATGAACACAAGCTACAGCAGACTACATATCTGAAAAATACTCTCCAACATTTAGAATTTAAAAAAAAAACGTTTAGAAACACTGGATGAATCACATGCATGCAGAGTTTGGCTCACACTAAGGTAAATGGTATAACTAGAAGAGAGAAAAAATAAGAGGGAGTAAAAATTCCAGGCATGAGCCTATGCTAACAGAATGACTGTCTATGGCTTCTTGTTGTTCAGTCGCTTGGTTGTGTCTGACTCTTTGCGACCCTATGGACTGCAGCACACCAGGCTTCCCTGTCCTTCATCTCCCAGAGCTTGCTCAAACTCATGTCCATAGAGCTGGTGATGCCATCCAACCATCTCATCCTCTGTCATCCCCTTCTCCTGCCCTCAATCTTTCCCAGCATCAGGGTCTTTTCCAATGAATCAGTTCTTTGCATCAGGTGGCCAAAGTACTGGAGTTTCAGCTTCAACATCAGTCTTTCCAATGAATATTCAGGACTGATTTCCTTTAGGATTGATTGGTTGGATCTCCTTGCAGAACAAGGGAATCTTGTCTCAAGAATCTTCTCCAACACCACAGTTCAAAAGCATCAATTCTTCAGCGCTCAGCTTTCTTTATGGTCCAACTCTCATATCCATACATGACTACTGGAAAAACCATAGCTTTGAAGAGACCGACCTTTGTCAGCAAAGTAATGTCTCTGCTTTTTAACATGCTGTCTAGGTTGGTCATAGCTTTTCTTCCAAGGAGCAAGTGTCTTTTAATTTCATGGCTGCAGTCACCATCTGCAGTGATTTTGGAGACCAGGAAAATAAAGTCTGTCACTGTTTCCATTGTTTTCCCATCTATTTGCTATGATGTGATGGGACTGGATGCCATGATCTTTGTTTTTTGAATGTTGAGTTTTAAGCCAGCTCTTTCACTCTCCTCTTTCACCTTCATCAAGAGGGTCTTGATGAGGTTCCTCTTCACTTTCTGCCATAACGGTGGTGTCATCTGCATATGTAAGGTTACTGATATTTCTCGCAGCAATCTTGATTCCAGATTGTACTTTGTCCAGCCCGGCATTTCACATGATGTACTCTGCATATAAGTTAAATAAGCAGGGTGGCAATATACAGCTTTGATGTACTCCTTTCCCAATTTGGAACCAGTCCATTGTTCCATGTCTGTTTCTAACTGTTGTGTCTTGACCTGCATAAAGGTTTCTCAGGAGGCAGGTAAGGTGGTCTGGTATTCCCATGTCTTTAAGAGTTTTCCACAGTTTGTTGTTATCCACACAGTCAAAGGCTTTAGCATATTCAACGAAGCAAATGTTTTCATGGAATTCTCTTGCTTTTTCTTTGATCCAATGGATGTTGGCAATTTGGTCTCTGCCTTTTCTAAATCCAGCTTGAAAAAAAAATAAATAAATAAATCCAGCTTGAACATCTGGAAGTTCTCAGTTCATGTGCTGTTGAAGCCTAGTTTGGAGAATTTCAAGCATTACTTTGCTAGCGTGTGAAATGAGTACAATTGTGCATAGTTTGAACATTCTTTGGCATTCCCTTTCTTTGGGTTTGGAATGAAAACTGACCTTTTCCAGTCCTGAAGCCACTGCTGAGTATTTTCCAAATTTGCTGGCATGCTGAGTGCAGCACTTTAACATCATCATCTTTTAGGATTTGAAACAGCTCAGTAGGAACTCCGTCACCTACACTAGCTTTGTTCATAGAGATGCTTCCTAAGGCCCACTTGACTTTGCACTCCAGGATGTCCAGGACTCTAGGTGAGTGATCACACCATCGTGGCTTGTATCAGGAATATAAGACACCAAGTTTCAAGGGTGGCTGAGAAGGACAAGGCATTGAAGTGCCTTAAATTTATGAGAAAGGCAAATAGACCAATGGCACAGAATAGAGAGCTTAGAGATAGACGACATACGTGTGGGAACTTACTTTTTGACTGTGTTGACATTTAAAAATCAGTGGGAAGGAAAGTGTAGGTCTCTGAATAACCAAGTCAGCTGATTATTCATGTGAAATCAATAAATACCTAGCTATTACATGATATAGAAAAGTCAATTCTAGCTTGAAAATGACAAAATGCTTAAAAATTGATAGAAGAAAATATTGGCAAATAACTTTGTGACTGACAGGGTATACTCTTTAAAGTAAGCTGTAAGAAGTGCAAACTTTAAGAGAGATAAACTTGACTATATTAAAATTTAAGACTTCCACGGATCAAAAGACAACATGTGAAGAAAGAGATGGCATAGACTGGGAAAGACATTTTAACCTACACTACCTAAAAAATTAGGGTCATAAATATGTAAAGAATTTCTAGACATCAATAAAAGGAAGAGAATCAATTGGAAAAGTAAGCATAAGAATCTGATGAGAAACTCACAGGAAAGGAAGCATAAATAGAAATATGAGTTTGAGCAAACTTCAGGAGATTGTGAAGCACAGGGAGGTGTGGTATGCTGCAGGAGTCCATGGGGTCACAAGGAGTCGGATACAACTGAGAGACCAAACAACAGCAACAATATATATATAAGAAAAACGCCCAGTCGCACCTATAGCAAGGATTGCTCTGTTTAAAATCAGAGGAATTAATCTTGTAATTGGAAGTTGTACCTTTTGACCACCTTCACCCATTTCTTCCAAGCACTTCTGTTCTCTGAATTTGTTCTTTTATATTCCACATATAAGTGATACCATATAGCGTTTGTCTTTCTCTGTCTGACTTTTTTCACTTAGTATAATGCCCTTAAGATCCATCCATGATGTTGCAAATGGCAGGATTTCCTTTTTTTTTTTTTTTGGCTCAGTATTATTATTTCATTATGTCTATCTAGATATCACCTCTTCTATATCATTCATCCATCAATAGACACTTAGGTTGCTTCCATGTCTTGGCTATTTTAAGTAATGATCTAATGAACATGGGACGTGTAGCTCTCTCTTTGAGATAACCAGTTTTGTTTCTTTCGATATATACCCAGAAGTGGAATTGCTGGCTCATATGGTAGTTTTCAGATATGAAGATGACAACACCCTTATGGCAGAAAGTAAAGAGCAACTAAAAAGCCTCTTGATGAAAGTAAAAGAGGAGAGTGAAAAAGTTGGCTTAAAGCTCAACATTCAGAAAACTAAGATCATGGCATCTGGTCCCATCACTTCATGGCAAATAGATAGGGAAACAGTGGAAGCAGTGTCAGACTTTATTTTTTTGGGCTCCAAAATCACTGCAAATGGTGATTTCAGCCATGAAATTAAAAGATGCTTACTCCTTGGAAGGAAAGTTATGACCAACCTAGATAGCATATTAAAAAGCAGAGATGTTACTTTGCCAACAAAGATCCGTTTAGTCAAGGCTATGGTTTTTCCAGTGGTCATGTATGGATGTGAGAGTTGGACTGTGAAGAAAGCTGAGTGCCAAAGAATTGATGCTTTTGAACTGTGGTGTCGGAGAAGACTCCTGAGAGTCCCTTGTACTGGAAGGAGATCCAACCAGTCCATCCTAAAGGAGATCAGTCCTGGGTGTTCATTGGAAGGACTGATGCTGGAGCTGAAACTCCAATACTTTGGCCACCTCCTGCGAAGAGTTGACTCATTGGGAAAAACCCTGATGCTCGGAGGGATTGGGGGCAGGAGGAGAAGGGGACGACAGAGGATGAGATGGCTGGATGGCATCACCGACTGGATGGACATGAGTTTGAGTAAACTCTGGGAGTTGGTGATGGACAGGGTGATTCAGGTGATTCAGGTGATTCATGGGGTCGCAAAGAGTCGGACACGTCTGAGCGACTGAACTGAACTGATGGTAGTTCTATTTTTAATTTTTTGAGGAACTTCCATTCTGTTTGCCAGAGTAACTTCACTAATTCATATTCCTACCAACAGTGCACAAGGGTTCCCTTTTCCCCACATCCTCATCAACACTTGTTATTTTTTGTCATTTTGGGAACTGTCATTTTAACAGGTGTGAGGTGATACCTTGTGGTTTTGATTTGCATTTCCCTGATGATGAGTGATGTTGAGCATCTTTTCGTGTACCTGTTGGCCATTTGTAAGTTGTCTTTCAGAAAATATCCCTTCAGTTCCTCTGTTTATTCAATTTTAAAATCATTGTTTTTTGGTATTGAGTTGTATGAGTTCCTTATATGTTTTAGCTATTAACTCCTTAGAGGTTTTATTTGCAAATATTTTCTCCCATTTGGTTGTTTGCTTTTTTATTTTGCTGATTCTTTTGTGGTGCAGAAGCTTTTTAGTTTGGAGTCATCTCGTTTATTTATCTTACTTTTGTGTTTGGGCTGTAGGTGTCATCTCTGAAAAATCGTAACCAAGATTAATGTCAAGGAGCTTTTTCTTTGTTTCTTTCTAGGAGTTTTATGATTTCAGGTCTTATGTTGAGTCTTTAATTCTTTTTGAGTTAATTTTTTGAATGAGTGGTGAGAGTGGTCTAGTTTCATTCTTCTGTGAATATCCAGCTTTCCCTGCACCATTTATTGAAGAGACTGTCTTTTCTGTGGGCTCCCCTGGTGGCTCAGCTGGTAAAGAATCCACCTGCAATGCAGGAGACCTGGGTTCAATCCCTGTGTTGGGAAGATCCCCTGGAGGAGGGTATGGCAGCCCACTCCAGTATTCTGGCTGGGAGAATTCCATGGACTGTATAGTCCATGGGGTTACAAAGCATCCAACAAAACTGAACAACTTTCATATCGCTCTTATCAAATGTTTGTTGACTATGTATTTGGAAGGTTATCTCTGGACTTTCAATTCTATTGCATTTGCCTGTGTGTCTGTTTTTATGCCAGAGGATACTACTTTGATTATTATGAATACATTCTAGGGATATAATGTACAACATGGTGACTAGTTAACAATATTATATTGCATATTTGAAAATTGCTAAGAGAATAGATCCAAAAAAATTATCACAGGAAAGATAACTGAAACTATTTAAGAGGATAGATGTTAACTAAACTTACATGACGATCATTTCACAATACATACATGTGAAGTTATGTGGCTCAGCTTAAATTTATTCACCGTGTGCATGCGTGTGTGTGTGTGTGTGTGTGTGTGTGTGTGTGCATGCACTCAGTCACTCAGTCGTGATGACTCTTTGCAACCCCATGGACTGTAGCCCACCAGGCTCCACTGTCCATGGAATTTTTTAGGCAAGAGTATTGGAGTGAGTTGCCATTTCCTCCTCTAAGGGATCTTCCCAATCCAGGGATTGAACCTGCGTCTCTTGAGTTTCCTGCCTTAGCAGATGGATTCTTTACCACTTCACCACCTGGGAAGCCCCAAGCTTATTCAGTCATTTACATCTAAATAACACGGGAAATAATAGAACAAAATCAGAATAATTTCATGCACAGATTGGCAAAAAAATTAAAGCCTTGGCAATAACAGTGTTGTCAAGGATATAAAGGGATATGAATTTTCATGTGCTGCTTTGGCAGTATAAATCTTTGCAGTTCTTTTGGAGGACAGTTTGAAGTAGAGACATTCCTATTCCAATACCCAGAAATTCCACCTTTAAGTATAGACTTTTACCCATGCATGCATGAACACATACAGTTGCCCCTTGAACAAGAGTTTGAACTAGGAGAGTCCATTTATATGCAGATTTTTTTTCAATAGTAAGTACTACAGTACTACAAGAAATGCAGCTGGTTAATTCTACAGATGCTGAACCCTGAAAACAGAAGGCCAACTACTCATCATACGTGGATTTTCAACTGTGCAGAGGTTCAGCATCCCTAACCCCTGCACTATTTAAAGGTCAATTGTATATGAGACTGCTCACAGAAGTTATTACACATAGCAGAAAAAGACCTTAATACCTATAAAGGGAAGACTAGACACATATAGTCACACAGTGGAATAATACATACTAGTTAAAAGTCAGTGAAGTAGAGAGTCACATATCCAAGGGATGAATCTCAAAAAAACAGAGAAGAAAAAAGCAAGCTTCAGAGGAACATTTACAGTATGTTACATTTATATAAAGTTAGAAAAATATGTGAAATATCTATCTTAGACTGTCAACTGTTGATTGAAAACCTCATATGAAATTACCTTCAATAATTTGTAAAATATATCTATATATTAGTAACAGGGCTCTCTTCTTCTAGTGCATGGGTTTTGGGGAGACCTCCATGGCAGAGTGTTGGTGCCTGGAAATGGAGAGAAAGGGGCTTGGAAAGCATGAGGGGAGCAGAGTTGTAGTGGCTGAGAAAGGCACCTTGGAAAGGGAGGGACGTCCCTTGGAGGCCTGATGGCAAAAATTAAGAAGGAAGTGACTGAAGAATCAGAAGAATGAACCCCCCAACTCCCCAGTGTCATTTATTTATAAACTGCACTTCACTTATAGTGACAGAAGAGGGCACCCTTGAACTAATAAACAGAGTAAGCAACTAATTGCCTCGGGCTACCCTCTGCTGACGGAGAAGGCAATGACACTCCACTCCAGTGTTCTTGCCTGGAGAACCCCAGGGACGGCGGAGCCTGGTGGGCTGCCGTCTATGGGGCTGCACAGACGGAAGCGACTTAGCAGCACCCCCTGCTGGATGACCTGGGTGGTTTTTCGTTTTTTCATACAGGATTTTTTTTTTTTTTAATTTCCGGGGCAGTTAAACTCATACATGGTTCAGTATTCAAGAGGTACAAAAAGGCTTGCAATGCAAGAATCTCTCCAAATCTTGCTCTTAGCCGCCTGGTTATCCAGCTGCTGCTGCTAAGGGCAATCAAAGGTATCAATTATTAATATAAACCTTGAAAGGTATTTTATGCATATGTTAAATGTAAGTTCATTTCCTTCCTCATCCCCTCCTTACAAAAATGTAGTGTATGAGTCCCACTGTTTAAGAACTTGATTTTATTCCTCAAAACATCTCAAAGTTCCAGAATGACCTGGTTTTGTGGGTCAGGAAAATCCAACATACTTCATCATGAGTAGAAGCATAACACACAAAACAAAGAAAGTAAGAGTCAAACTTTTTCAGCTAATGATTGAACGTGCTTTTTAAAAAGCTCACAAAGCAAAGCAAACAATACAAAACTCTAATATAAATTCAAATGAGAAATTGCAGATGTGAAAAAACACTGTAGCTCAAAAATTGAAAATTCTGAACAGAAATAGTCAGACAGTTGCACAAAGGGCTGACAGAATACTGGAAAGAAATTGATTAAAGGGTCAAAAATTATTTTTAAAATGACTGAATGTTATCTGTGAGGTAATAGATGCAATGTATTTAAATGGATATGGAGGACAGGAATAAAAGAGCTGGGAATAAGAAGACAAAGAAAAAAGGAAAAGAGCCCAAAAGAAGATGATAATCATAAAAGGCAGAAAGTGTTCCAACACAGGAATAAATGGTGACTCTCAAGAAAGTTAAACAAACTAAAATACTGGTAAAGAACTAATATTTGAAATTATAATCCATGTAAATGTCCCTGAAATATAATAACATGAAACTGTGTGTCAAGATAATTGAGGAAACTGGGTGAGGATAGTTGAGAACATCTTTGCAACTTTTCCATAAATCTAAACCATTTTAAAAAATAGTATTTTTAAAAGATTAATAGAGATCTTAATCAAAAGTAAAAATAAAATCTGAAGCAAATATTTCAAAATAGTAGTATTGAAAGGGCAGTAGTAATTGATACTTGATGGTTTCTTAGATTACACTATTGAACCAACTTTCCAGGACCTAGGACCTTCAGATTGTCATCTCTAGTGAAGATAACCCTTACTTACTTGAGACACTTACTTCACTCAGAGATTGTCGTCTTCCCTAGGGGAGACGACAATCTCTGAGTGAAGTCAGACACAGAAAGACAAATATATGGTATTGCTTATGTGTAAAATCTATAAAACTATAAATGAACTTATTTACAAAACAGATGTGGAGTCACAGATGGAAAAAATAAACTTATGGTTACCAAGGGATAAGAGGGCTATAAATTGGGAGACTGGGGTTGACATGTACACACTACTAAATATAAAATAAATAACTAATAAGAACCTGCTGCATAGCACAGGGACATCTACTCAATACTCAATACTCTGTAATAGCCTATATGGGAAAAGAGTCTATAAAAAAAGAAGAAAAGAAAAGAGTCCATCTAGGTATAACTGAGCCCCCTTGCTACACACCTGAAACTAACACAGCTTTGTAAATCAACTATAATCCAATAAAAAAAAAATTTTTAATGTCTTACAGCAGAAAAATCCTCTCATTGAACAGGTAGGGAAGCTGAATAACACACACGAACAGTACCTGTTTGAAGGCATCATTGAACTGCTGGGGCAAGCTGGACCTCTCTGAAGAGAGAAAAACTCTGGAGAAGTGAAGTGCGATTTCTCCAGCCTCTTTCCTGCTGTAGAGATGTGTCAATTACCTGGTACAGGTTGCAAGTTCTAGACTGCAGGTGGAGGCCTACTTTTTCTTTTTAAGTTTCTGTTAGAGTATAATTGCTTTACTTTTAAGAGGCCAAGAAGTCAGCAGCACTGTATGTATTCCCACAGGGCTAGAGAGGGAAAAGTTGGAAAAGTGCAAGTCGCTCAGTCATGTCTGACTCTTTGCAACTCCATGGACTATATGATCCATGGAATTCTCCAGGCCAGAATACTGGAGTGGGTAGCCTTTCCCTTCTCAGGGGATCTTACCAACCCAGCGATTGAACCCAGGTCTCCTGCATTGCAGGTGGATTCTTTACCAGCTGAGCCAAAAGCTGGAAAAGAGTGCTGCAATGTCAGCCAAGAATTAGATGCTATGACCTCAGATATAAGGGACTTCTGTGGTGGGTCAGACTATAAACAATCTACCTGCAAGGTAGGAGATCTGGGTCCGATCCCTGGGTGAGGAAGATCCCCTGGAGAAGAAAATGGCAACCCACTCCAGTATTCTTGCCTAAAGAATCCCATAAACAGAGGAACCTGGCAGACTACAGTCCATGGGGGTCCCAAAGAGTTGGACACAACTGAGCGACTTACAGTTTCAGAGAGGTAAAAGGTAGAGTGTTTTGTCCCTCAAGGCTTTTGACTTATCTTAAGCTACCCATGTCCAGGAATAAGAAAATATAATCAGAAAATGACTTAAAAGAAGAGGGGTGTTTAATTCACTTTCATGCTGCTGTGAGAAAAAAATTCAAGTTCACAGTCCACCAATTAGAAAGTACCTAGGACAGGGGCTTTCCAGGTGGCTCTGTGGTAAAGAATCCACATGCCAATGCATGAGACGTGGGTTCGATCTCTGGGTCAGGAAGATCTTTTGGAGAAGGAAATAGCAATCTACTCCAGTGTTCTTGCCTGGGTAATCCCATGGACAGAGGCTGATGGGCTGCAGTCCATGGAATCACAAAAGAGTCAGACATGACTTAGAGACTAAACAACAACAACAATAAAAAAAAGAAAGAAAGAAAATTCCTAAGACAGACAGGGTAATGGACAGAGAGACAAGGGGCATAAAAAAGCTGAACAGAGTCTGAACAGAATCTCAGTGACCTATTGGCCTTAACAAATGGTATAACATGCTTAATTCGGTAACAGAAGATAGCAGAATTTCTTACTCTGAAAGTAGAAAAATCACAAAATTGCTCTTATTGAAGAGCAATCTTGAGTGTCTATTAATATTAACTATCCCCCAGTAAGGAAATCTGTATTGTTTGTATGTGCATGTTATCTGACCGTGCAAATTACTTACTGTAAAAGTTCACTTACCTTCCACAGAATTAGGAATATCTTGGCCCCATTTGGCAAAGAAAGTGGAGCCACCTCCTCCCCAAGGAAAGCAAACCAGCCTAAAAAGTGCATTACGATTCTGGTATAAGCAGTTCACAACTTTTTCATTCCTAGGGAGAAAATTCAAATATTTAACATGATGTAAAGTAAGTTCACCTGTCCTAACTGATTTATGTGTGTTTTAACAGAAATTTTTATTCATTATAAGGAGACTGTATTCATATATAAAGGGATTGCCTTTTTTTTTTCCAACAAGAACAGCCAAAAAAATTTTTCGTGTACTCATTTTTAATAGTATATATAAACTTGGATAGATGTAACTGAAATAGTCAAGTATCGATATGTAATATTTAGGAAGTACATTTCATATGCACATTTAAAAGGGATAGACATGCTAATTTAGAAATCACCTTTTTCCCAATTCAGGGAATAGTTGTATCTATACAGTTTTATCTCAAAGTCTTCATGATTTCAGGTCATCTGTAAGTTTTCCAAAACATGTAATTTTCACTCCCTTCTGAGTGTTAATTAAATACACCTTTTTGTATCTGCATATAATCGTTGGAAACTTCACCACAGTGTCCAACTATCCTTCCACCTAGTATTCCAGATAATTGCTTTTTAAAAAATTCAATATATATATATTCAACATAAATATATATACAAAACATTCAATATATATACGTTTGCATCATCCATAATTTAAACACTTCCTGTAAAGTCTTCACGTTGATCGTTAAATTATTTACAAAGTTATATAGTCTTGCCAAATGTGAGGTAATCAACCCTACTATTATGATTAAATCTGTCTTGCCTCTCTCTTTCTTAAGTTCCCATTTAGTCAGTTGATCTCTGGGCTGTGTTGTGCTTAGTCACTCAGTCATGTCCGACTCTTTGTGACCCCATGGACTGTAACCCTCCAAGCTGCTCTGTCCATGGGGATTTTCCAGGCAAGAATACTGGAGTGGGTTACCATGCCCTCCTCCAGGAGATCTTCCCAACCCAGGGATCGAACCCAGGTCTCCTGCATTGCTGGTGGATTCTTTACCATATGAGCCACCAGGGAAGTCCAAGAATATTGGAGTGGGCAGCCTATCCCTTCTCCAGGGGATCTTCCCAACCGAGGAATTGAACTGGGGTCTCCTGCATTGCAGGTGGATTCTTTACCAGCTGAACTACTGGGGACACACCCCCAGTTGATCTCTACAAGCACCCAAAACTAACAATGATTGAGATTTTGTCAGGTTTACATGTATTCTTTAAAGAGGATTTTGGTTTTCACGATAAAATAATAGAACACTACTAATTATGAGAAACTTTACACAAACTTAAGCATAAGTTAAAACCTTTCTTGGGGGGAAGAATAACATTTGGAGAAGAACTCCTTGGCTTGTATTAGGGCATTTATGTTAATAATTGCTAATTTAAAGAGAAACAACAAAACGGCAATTTTTTGAAAGATTTTTTAATGTGGGCCATTTTTAAAGTCTTGATTGAAGTTGTTACAGTATGTTTTTTATGTTTTGGTTTTTTGGTGGCCATGGGGCATGTGGGATCTTAGCTCTCCGACCAGGGATCAGGCCCACTGCACTGGAATGCAACGTCTTAACTACTGGATGGTCAGGAAAGTCCCCTCAAAGGGGTAATTTTAATGTTTTCTTTTGAAGAGGGACATTTTGTACTTGAGGCTACATTCCTTCTAACTAAAGGAGATCAATCCTGGGTGTTCATTGGAAGGACTGATGTTGAAGCTGAAACTCCAATACTTCGGCCACCTGATGCAAAGAGCTGACTCATTTGAAAAGACCCTGATGCTGGGAAAGTTTGAGGGCAGGAGGAGAAGGGGATGACAGAGGATGAGATGGTTGGATGGCATCATTGACTTGATGGACATGGGTTTGGGTGGACTCCGGGAGTTGGTAATGGACAGGGAGGCCTGGTGTGCTGCAGTTCATGGGATCGCAAAGAGTCGGACTTAACTGAGCGACTGAACTGAACTGAAATGATTATCAGCAAACTCACTGACCATGGATCAGCCCTAAATAAGAGCTTCATAGCTATCACCCATTTACTGGATAAACACTAGAGTCATTTTTTAAAGGAGTACAAAAAACTTCCATAGTGCCTTCCACAGTTTGGTAAAAACTGCATAGCTAATGGGTGAGTTTTCTGAATCTTATTTCTGGAAGCTATTGAAGAGTCTAGAAAAATGACTTGAATTCAACATTACTTTAAAACAAGTCCATATTTTTTAAAGCTAAGGAGCCCTACTTCAGTCTATTTCAATGACTTGCATTCTCATGAACAAAAATATCGGAATAAGAATAGCCTTGCCATACCTGAAGACTATGTAATCAGAAGAAGTAGTTCTGCTGATTACAGGAGTTCTACAAGGAAAACAATACAAAGCCCTAAACACAAAATTAGGTTTAGACACTTTGATCATTGCTGTTGTTTTTTAGTTGCTAAGTCATTTCCAACTCTGTGCAATCCCGTGGACTATAGCCCTCCAGGCTCCTCTGTCCATGGGATTTCTCAGGCAAGAACACTGGGTTACCATTTCCTTCTCCTGGAGATCTTCCCCACCCAGGGATCAAACCTGTGTCAGCAGTCAGATTCTTTACCACTGAGCTACCAGCGAGACCATTTGATCATTAGTTTCAAGATAAAACCACCTTTCTTTGCCTTGGGAGTGGGGGTAGGAGCTGTTCTTCACTTATTTAGAGCCGGGCCAGTGTCACAGTGGGTCCTCAGAACCCACATTGATGGGGTGCCTGCCCTCCACAGCAAACCCATGGCGAAGATCTCACAAGAAGCTAGAGCCTGGGAGGGTATTGCTCATTGCTGTGAAGCCTGGACAGTTAGCAGAACATTCTCATTTTTGGGCTCTTGCCTGTCCTCTGCCTCCATCCAATCTCCTGTGTCTCCTGAGAAAAAACAGACGCAGACCAAGAAAAGCTAACCTTCCCAAGCCAATCCTCTGGGTGGAAGCCTTCTGCCTGCACTTGGGTTCTCTTTGTCTTCCCCTTCTTCATTTTTGGTTTTGGTTAAATCATAAAAGTCTAAGACTTTAGAGTTGAGAGGTATTAGAGCAATCATTTAACCCACTATCAACAGCCTGATAGCTCAGTTGGTAAAGAGTCCAGCTGCAATGCAGGAGACCCAGGTTCGATTCCTGAGTGGGGAAGATCCCCTGGAGAAGGGATAGGCTACCCACTCCAGTATTCTTGGGCTTCCCTTGTGGCTCAGCTGGTAAAGAATCCTCCCACAATGTGAGAGACCTGGGTTCGATCTCTGGGTTGGGAAGATCCCCTAGAGATGGGGAAGGCTACCCACTCCAGTATTCTGGCCTAGAGAATTCCATGGACTGTATGGTCCATGGGGTCATAAAGAGTCAGACACGACTGAGTGACTTTCACTTTCAACAGCCTAGTGACTAAGGCTGTGGAAACAAAGAGATCTGAATTCAAATTCATTGATATGACATTAGGAAAATGACCTGAGTGACTGAAAGTCTCAATGTCCTCATCTGTAAAATGAGGACAATCATAGCGTCTTCCTTACATTTTGGTTAAATGTCTCAAAAATACTCAGCATGGTTTTAGGAACCCACAAAACAAAAATGAATGTTTTCTATTAATCCTGGTTTTGACAGTTGGAGAAACTGAGGTCAAGAGATGTTAGGTTACTCACCCAGGGTCACCCGGCCAGTGACAAGTCAGGAATTAGAACACAAGTCCTGTTTATCCTAAGAGCTACTTCCCCACTTTATCCCTCTTCTTGTTTTCTCAGCATCAACAAGCAACAAGTGGACCCATGAGTGGCAGGGAGTGGATAGCATACCTGGGAGGCTTCAGATGACAGAGCCAGGGACACAGACCTCTACTCTACTTCTGGGTGTAAATGGAATCTTGCTTTCACATTTGTAGCCAAGTCATGGGTTTACAGTTTCACATTAAGCTTACCACCAAGTCAGTACCATTTTATACAGTGAGTAGTTGGTACCATTTACAATACCTTACAGGACTTCCCTAACGGTCCAGTGGTTAAGACTCTGCACTTCCAATGCAGGGTTCGGTCCCTTGTTGGGGAAACTAGGATCCCACATGGTGTGGCAAAAACACAAATACCTTGCACTAGGGAGAATGGCCATCAAATGAGGTTTCTCGGAGAAGCGACTTTCCATGTAAAAGGGCAGAGTATCAGAGCACCTGGGATTGGAAAGACCCAGACTGCACACAGTGACATACCTGATTGTCTCAGCTTTGTCTCTGCTCTCCATTTTTTGAGGAAATGGTACAAAATTGCTGCTCTCAGGAACTTTCTGGCCAGTGCCAAATTCAATACCTCTTTGGATACAAAACCTCTGATCAGCCTCGAGCACACTTTTAAATCTGTTGGTTATTGCTCCAAGCCCTATTTTTTAAAAAAAAAAAAAAAAGGAGAAGAAATGGATTAGAAGCAACATGACAGATGTTATGTTGGAGTCGCCTGCCTCAGCTCACATTCAATAATCAGTAAGCGGTTCCATTATGTCAGGGAGTGTTTGACGGAGGATTCCCAAGTGCTGTCTCTGATGAGTCCTTTGTCCCTCTTCAAGCGGAACAGCACGCTGCTCCCAGGGACTGAGGTCATTGTGTGAGGCAGGCTTGGGTCTCCTTTAGTGAACATTCTCTTTAGGACAAAACTGCTTAGTCTCCTTCCCCTTTCTTGAGATATGGATTGTGTCCTGACCTTGTGACTAACATTACCCCTTGTTCCCTTGGTAACGGTTGCTGTACATGTGGTTTTCTGATCTCTATCATTCCCGAAAGAAGTTTCTTGTACCACAGCCTACATATACTCATAGAAAAATCATTAAAGCACCTTTGCTCCATCAGAGCTTAGGTCCCCAGGTCTTTTTTGTCTCTCTCTCTCTTTTTCTCTCTTACTTTCTTATCGTCGACTCCATACCACCAGCTTCTGGTCCATTAAAGGATCCCAACAAATGGTGCCCAAACAGGGACACTGGTATACGTGGCATGTCGGGCGGAGTGACTCAGGGACCTGTTGAGGTCAGTGAGTACTAGGGCATGGGTCAAACGGCTGGCCAGCCCCATTATTTTTCTACTTTACTTCACCATTTGTCTAAAGTTCAGGGACTTCTGGTTTCACGCCAGTGAACAGAGGCTTGCCTTCAAACAGTAGTAGAACATAATCCTTAGTTTCCTGGTAAATGCAGTTTTGATTTAGAAATTTGGCTCCAGGTCAAAGAAAATGTTAAATGAGCAGCCAAACAAGGAAAAAATATTCCAATTGATCTCTAGCCCCTACGGGCTCTTATTAAAGCTGTAATTCTGCCATTTCAAGGTACATTCTAGCCCTTCCAATATTCAGCAACAGACAGAACACTTATTACATAAATATAAATTAAATGATTAAACTTTACAAAAGGCCCAATTAAAACAATATAAAATATCTCAAAATTTTCTTACTAGCCCTGCCCCGGCTGCTCCAAATTCTTCTCCTCTGCCAACAGTCACAACTCCAAAAGTCTCTCCTTTGTTGGAACCTAATGAAAAGTTATGCTAATTTTTAAGCTAGATTAGAAGCTGCTATTTCCCATACTGTAATCAGAGAAGAAACCAAAAAACAGCTAGAGAAATTACTTGCTTATGAGAATGCAAATCAGAAATGTCAAAGAGCTATAGCTGCAATTTGTGAGACTAGGACTATTATTGATTATTTGAAGGCTTGTCACAATCTAGGATCAAAAGCTTAAAAGTTGCAAATACTAGCTGAAACAATGGCTACTACCTTTTAAAAAGGGAAATGAAGGATGCTTTACATGTGGAGATAAAAACCGTTTAAAAAGGGACTGCCCTAAGAAGGCTAATAAACCTCCAAGAATTTGCCCTTGCTGCCATAGAGGAATTCATTGGGCCAAAGACAGTAAATTTAAATTTGATATTGAAGGAAAACCTATTCCAGGAAACTCCAAACAGGGGACCTCCAAGGTCCCCTAAAACAAAAACCAGGGGCAAATTCTATCCTTTCCCTCAAACCCTCAACGTCCAGCAGTGCTGCCATTAATATACCAGCCCTAAATGATTTTTTCCTTTACCCTTAAGCAGTCCCTTCTAGAATACCTACTGGACTTTTTGGACCCCTGCCCCTGCAAACCTTCAGTCTTTTACTTGGCTGATCTAATTTGGCTTCTAAAGGAATTACTGTTCACCCTGGAATAATTGATTCAAATTATAAAGGAGAAATTCAAATTATGATGTCAGCTCAGATTCTATGGCAATTCAAAAGGGGGGGAAAACTGCTCAATTACTTCTTTTGCCTTACATTTCTATTAACTCCTCTAATAATGTACGGAAAGGCAGATTTGGCAATACAGATCAAAAACAATCCTTATGGACATCATTGGCATTTAAATATGTCCGACCAAATATAAATATCATAATTAATGGTAAAAGATTTTCTGGTCTCCTTGGCACTGGATCTAATATTATTTCCAAACACCTGTGGCCCAAATCCTGACCTATACAAAAGGTCTCTTGCCAAATTGCAGGAATTTCTCAAACCAAAGTACAAGAAATTTATCAAAATATTCAAATCTACCCATATGATAGACCAAAAGGCCAACCTACAACATTAAGACCTTATGTGATAGATGCACCCCTTAATCTAATAGGAAGGGACTTACTTATGCAATGGCAAGCTCAGATATGCATTCCACATTTTTCCTAGGGACTACTGCTCATTTAACAAACAAAACAATTATTAAAATAACTGAGAAAAATTATGAGCCTATTTGGACAAAGCAACAGCCCCTTAGAAAGAAAAATTACAAGCTACTAAAGAACTTATAAACACACAATTAAAATTGAAACATATTGAGGAATCTTGCTCTTTTTGGAACTCTCCTATTTTTGTTATAAAAAGGAAATATAACAAATGTTGTCTCTTAACAGAGTTTAGAAAAGTTAATTCTTTTATGAAACCTATGGGTGCATTTCAACCAGAGATCCCATCACCTATTACTATTCCTCAAAATTGGCACATTATTATTACTGATTCACCAGATTGCTTTTTTAATATACCTTTACACCCTTTAGACGGGAGAGATTCACTTTCTCTCTCCCTTATCCTAACCATATCAGGCCTCATAAAAGATTTCAGTAGACTATGTTACCTCAAGGTATGCTTAAAAGTCCTGCTACTGCTGCTAAGTCACTTCAGTTGTGTCCTACTCTATGTGACCCCATAGATGTCAGCCCACCAGGCTCCCCCATCCCTAGGATTCTCCAGACAAGAGTACTGAAATAGGGTGCCATTGCCTTCTCCATAACAGTCCTAGTATTTGTCAAAATTTTGTAGCCAAGGCTTTACTTCCTATGTGACAGCAATTCCCTCATGCATATATCATTAATAATATACTATAGCTACAGAAAGGAGAAATGATATTTTTGACACTGAATGGCTATGATATTCTTTAGACTCCAGAGAAAACTGATTAAAATAAAATCTTTTTTGAAACTGCAAAACCGGTTCTTCTTGCATGTGCAGTTAGGAAAAGGTTAACTTGTTAAAATATTTTTTTGGAGCTCCAGTTCTTCCTGGGAAACAAAAATAGGCCTAAGAAAAAACCTTAAGTTAACTCTTATCATGTCCTTGGGATATACAGCCCATTCTATCTAGGACTCCAGCCATTAACAAATTGGTGGAGCTCAAAATAAATAAATAAAACAAAAAGATATTTTAAATTTCAAACAGAGAACTATGTATCTAAAATTATCTATGTCTCAATGTATGTCTTTGTTTTTGGATAATATAAAGTTAATAAGCTCTATTTAAATTCAACTTCACATGAACTGAAAAGTATTCAATATTAAATATAATGTTTATTTAAATATAAATATAATTTAAATATAATTATTTATTAATCTAATTAAGACATGTCTTAAGTCATCAACATTATATAATACTTTTATTATGCCTTGGTTTAAGGTAAACAGTTTGTCAGCAAAAAGGTAACTTTTTATATATATATATACAAATATATAAATGAGATGAAAACTTTTAGATAAGCTCTATTAGAAATAATTATATTTTTAATAGAATAATCTATTATCTATAATCTAAAACAATCTCTTAGGATTGGAGTGACTTAGGTTTCTGGAGTTGTACTGAACTAAATAGTGGAAGTTTGTTGAATGGCTGGGTCATTTCCAAATGAAGTAGGATTTTGAAGCATTAATTGCTGAACATTGGCTTATTCTAACATGGGGATTTTTTGCAGAAGAGCTGAAGAGATTTTGAACTGTTAATGAATATAAATATATATTTATATAGGAATGGATATATATATAATATGATTTGATAAATATATTCAACAGTCTATAAAATACTAACATACAAGACAATTCATTGTTGCTATAGAAAAGTAAAATATATGCTTTTAGTAGAAAGACATAAGAAATGGCAAGTAAAATGATGAATACAAAAATATTTTTTTAATTGTTGAAACATTTATTATAAAAGTAGTATTTACATAAGCTTTACTAAACTAGTTTTTCATTGTCGTTCTAGCTACAGCAGATGTTCTTTCTCCAAATTAAACCAAATTAGAAACAAAAGAAAAATTCTGGGAAAACAACATTTAACAGAATTAACTTTAGTCAGCAAATACATTCAGACTGCAAAAATATTGGAAAATGCAGTTAAAATACTTAGGTAGATCACAATGAAAACCACAAAGTATGATGTGTTTATTTGAAATAAACATTGCATTTGTTTATTGTGCTATCATATTTTGTTTCGGCCTTTTAACTTTTAAGGATATTTAGTGCTGGAATTTTAAAAAGGCTTATGACAAATGAAAGAAAATTTTATGGCAAATAAATGTAACTCATTGTCCTGAACTATCTTCCTCTTCCTTCTTATATGTCTCAATCAATACAAATTCTTCTTTTCTAGGGTAACACCTCTCTAAGGTAAAACTACACAACATGTTATAACCCACCTATCAACTTACTTCACGATAATGAGAACACCTAATTCTATAAAAACAGACAATGACTCTGCCTATATTTCTAAGCAGTTCAAACAATTTTTACATTCATTCTCTATTAAACAGATTACAGACATTCCTTATAATCCACAAACACAATACATAATTAAAAGACACATTACACACTATAACGGCTAATAAAAATTTAAATAAGAGGAAATACACAGGAACACTTTTATCTTCCTTATCCAGAACAAACTTGACTAGATTCTAATGTAATATAGTCTTTAAGCCTATCACTATTATTAATATGACTTTATTTCTGTTTCCAATCTGTAAGATTCTTAAAACAAAATGAAAACATAAAAAAGACACCATTTCCCGAATAAATTATTTGTTCCTAAGAATATCAAAAATGTAAAATATTCACCTTCTTTTCAGGTCTGTCTTGAAAGTATAATCATCTTCTTTAACACACTGAACAGTGAGATTCAACAGTTGCTAAGCTGCATTTCTTTTTCAAGGACAAGGTCAAATGTATTTGGATGTGAGCAACATTTCATTTGTCAAGTTGTTCTGCATCACCTTTTCAATAATTTCACTTAGGAAAAAATATTTGAATGGTTACTCCTAATCCTTTGCCCCAAATAACACAAACCACAGCCAAATACCAGTCCCAAATGTATTTCTGAATGATTTTTTTCTTTTGGACTGAAATATTTCCTAAGAATGTTTTCATCAATATCGCCTTCCTTTCTTTTTATAACTATTGTTAATATAGCCTTATTTGTTTTAAACTTTTTAAACTTACCACAAAGAGATGTTTTGACAAAAGCAAAAAACAAAAACCAAACAAACAAAAAAAGAAGTTTTGAAACATTAAAGGACAGCTCCTTTCCTTTGCCCATTTGATATCAAGGCGGGTTAACTAATCAATGGAAATCTAAGAAACTAATCTTAAGGGAAAGACTATGCTTCTATTTCTCCAGATGGATCCAACGAGCTCACATGACTTCCTCTTCGGAAGATTCAACCTAAGGGGGCCCCCAGCATTCAGACTAGAGATGAAACAGCAAAAAACCCAGGAAGAAAGAATTTCAATACAAGCCATGGCGACATTAAAAATTTCCAAAAAACACCGCACTCGACATCATCGACCTTATGATCTCCCTACTTGGGGACAGATTAAAAACCCTTACTAATCAAACTGAAAATCTGATTTCTCAACAGGGAATGCCTCGGAATCCTGAAAATATTTTTCTTCGCTATGCTTGCTTTGCTTGCTTTTGCTTCCCCCGCTCAGGCTGACTTGATTGATCATATTTACTGGGCTTATATACCTAACCCCCCTTTTTTATTGTAGGTTATAAAATGGACAGATATAGGACCAATCATATCCACTAATGAGTCAACACATATGCCCCCTCCTTGGAACTTGGAGGGGCTCTCTCATCCTGAAGAAAAAGAAAAACTAATTAATATCTTTCTAGGTTATGAAATCCTTCCTTTGTGTATGGGTACAACAGAATTATGCATAAATGTTAGCCGACAAACTTAGGCCTTCCCCTGCCTCCAAAAGAGGACTTCCTGATGCTTCTTGGATTACTTACTGCCCTTTCTTTGTCCGTGAATCATGTTTATACTAAAACTTTAGGAAAAGAATTAAAGAAAATACAAAGGACACTATGCAAAGGGTTTACTAATAAGAACTTTAAATATATTCCTATTCATTAAGATAAATGTCAGGCCAAATCAGGAAAATTAATGTTTATAGCTAATCATACAATTGTCAACTGGGGACCCCATAGTATGTGGTTATTGAACTGCTCAGATGATATTAACAATACTATGTATGATTATATTACTCAAGTAACATGGAAGGGTACTAATACTACAGTGGAACATTACCATGACAAGAGGACTTCTTGGCTAGCTTGACGATGGAACGGCCCCCACCTCGTCCTCGAATCATCCTTGATAAACAGATTGGGCCCATCTAAGCCCATGCCCCACAACTACTGAGCCCGTGTGCCTAGGTCCTGTGCTCCCCAACAAGAGAGGCCACTGCAACAAGAAGCCCACGCACCGCAACAAAGAGTAGCCCCCACTCACTGCAACTAAAAAAATCACGCACACAGCAATGAAGACCAGTGCAACCAAAACTAAGCAAATAAATAAAAAATGAAATATCAAACTTCCAACTCTGCAAGCTGAAAATATTCAGAAAAGAAAGGAAGAATAATTACCCCTCCAAGTGGACTTTGTCCTTTTACTTCCTAGAACCTCCTTGAATCATGTCAAGGCCCTGGATCACTCAGCTGTGAGCCCCAGGAGTGTTCCCCGGAGACCAGGCTGATCTCTCAGTGTGCTGACTTCTTATAGTGCAGTGCAGAGCACCTGGAGGAACTGAAACCTGCTTAACTAGAGGAAGAAAGTTCGCGGAGGCGGGGATCACCTTGTCATTCAGGCTGTTTTCTTAGTGAGAATGGCCTGGAGAAATTACAAATTCTCAAAAAAAATAAACCACCTGTATGATTCATTAGGATTTCACTGACTCCTTAAATAAAGACATAAAATGCCAGAAGAGACAGCTTTGTCTAACAAGAAAAATTGGCAATCAGAGGTTGGATGCATATTTTTTGTGTTTATGACTGAAGGCTGTTACTGAGGACTACAGAACTTCAGTAAAATGAGGCTAAATTCCACCAGCTGTTTCTAATAGAAATAAGTAAAACCTATTCTTCTTTCATCTTATTAATATCATCTTATTTTTGACTTGGCACATCTTGTGATCAATTATAGGAAGGAGGAGTGTTTACTTTTACTTCATAGGTCTTCCCTGGTGGTCCAGTGATTGAGAATCTACCTACAAATACAGGGGACATGGGTTCAATCTCTGGTCCAGGAAGATCCCACATGCCACAGAGCAGCTAAGCCTGTGTGCCCCCGGTGTTGAAGCCTGCACACGCTAGAGTCTGCTCCACAACAACAGAAACCACCACAATAAGAAGCCCATGCTCCACAACTAGAGAGTAGCCTGCGCACAGCAACAAAGACCCACCATAATCAAAAATAAATAAAAATTAAAAATTTACTCAGTTGACATTTTACTTCAATAGATATCACTGAAGTCCTGGGTCATTTCTCAACATTTGGAGTTATCCTCAGATAAAAGTGATAGTGACTCTGTCCTCAAGAAAAAACAATATAAGTGTCTATTTGATTGAAATCAAATAGAGAGGAGAGAAGAGAGGGATGAGGTAGGGACAATATTCAGGAGACAGTGGCTTAGATTTTCCCAGAACTGATACATAATACCCGTCCAAAGAGTAAAGATGCCCAGCACATTCTGAGCAGAATAGACTAAAAAGAAAGAAATCTATGTAATGATGAAACTGGAAAACAAAGACAAAGGGCAAATATTAAAAGCCCAGAGGATGAGGGGGTGGACTATAATCTGGAAGGAACAGCAGAGTGGAAAGCTAGCACTAATCTCTTCAAGTGCTAAAAGAAAAATTGCTAAATTGGGATTTTCAGAACAACTCTCAAGGCAGGGAAAATCAGAAGAATCATACTTGAAAGAGATCAAAACGTGGAGCAGAAGGATGTAAAACTCACCTCCCCCCAAGTCTACACAATGTTGGAAAGACGGTCTCTGCAATAAGTGGTGCTGGGAAAACTGGACAGCTACATGTAAAAAAAATGAAACTAGATCATTCTTTAACTCCATACACAAAAATATGCTCAAAATGGATTCAAGGCCTAAATGTGAGACTGAACACTATAATTATATATGGACTCTGAAAAATAATACAAATGAGAGTATATTCAAAACAGAAACAGACACATACGTATAGAAAAAACTTGGGGTTACCAAAGGGGAGAGGAAAGGGGGAGGAACAAATTAAGGATCTAGTGGTAAGAGATACAGACAACTAAGTATAAAGTAGAAAGCAACAAGGATATATTGTAAAGCACAGGGGATTATAGCCATGGTCTTGTACTAAAAATGGAGTATACTCTGCAAAAATGCTGAATCACTCAACTGTACACCTGAAAATAATATAATATTGTAAATCAACTATACTTCAGGAAGCAGAAGCAGGGCAAAATAAAGACATTTTCAAGTGTCTTTTCTAAGTTTGCCACCCAGAAGACATCCCTAAATTAAATTTTAAAGGAAATACATACTTTGGGCAGAAAGTAAGTGACTGCAGATGGGAGATTTTGAGATGCAAAAAGAAATTTAAAAAGACAATGGTAAATAAGTGAGCCAATGTAAATAAACATTAATTGCATAAAGCAGTAACTGTAATTTCTAGTTGGCCTTAAAATATACATGGAATTAAAATATTGAACAAAATAATGTATATGTCAAGAGCAAGTAAAGGAATTTCTTTTTTTTCTTTGAGGTTTTATTAAATTTAGACTGACAAGTATGCATGTTTTAATTTCTAAGGCAAGTTTCTTGAAAGAACAGAAACATATCATATGCCACCCAAACTGGAAGAGAGGACTGTTTAGTGAATCAAAAAGAGAAAAGTAAGGAAAAACATAGAAAACACAATAAACACAGGTAAACATAGAAAACACAGGTAAAACAAACAGAAAACACAATACAAGATAGCAGATTTAAACCCCAAATATCACTGACTGTGCTTTTAAAAATATTTTAATTTGTTTGACTATGCCAGCTTTTAGTTGTGGCACACAGGATCTTTAGTTGTGGCATGTGAACTCTTAGTTGAGGTACGTGGGATCTGGTTCCATGATCAAACCCGGGTACCCTGCACCGGGGGAGAGAAGTCTTAGCCATTAAACCACCAGGGAAATCCCAGTTTTATATTACATATTAATGGGCTAAATTCTCCAAGTATGATGCAAAATTGCCAGGTTGAATTAAAAAATAATCCAGCTATAAGGCTGGGTATATAAGATGTATCTAGGAAGATATCATTCTTAAGATTTTAAAATAATTTCAAATGTAAAATAGTCAATGCCAGGCTCTGGCACAGAGGAAGCACGTTTTGAAATGTTTTAGCTACCAGTTAGGCAATGGAAAGAAGGCCTGCGGAATGGTGTGCGAGAGAACAAGGCGGAAAGAGCAACAGGCGCCTGAGCCCCGGAGTTGAGCTGGTGCATGGTAACTGAGAAATCAAAAGGATTTGTGCGGGGACGGGAGGCAGAGCATGGATGTAAGTAGGAGGCAGATTGTGGACAACCTTGTGAGCAAGCGATCTGAAGAATTTGGGACTTGGTCTTAAGACAAAGAGAATGCATGAGAAGCTACAGTGACCTGTGTCATCTTTCAGGATGATGACTTTGAAAACAAGGTCATGGCGAAGAGAATGTTAGGAGGCTGTTGTAATAATCCAGGAGAGGAAGGATGATGCCTTGGGCTAACATTCTGACATTAAGAAACACTTACAGAACAGTTGTGAAGGGACAGGCATCACTCATACTTTAAATGCATTGTCTCTTATTGTAGCTGTTAATTTATTAATGTGGCTGTGCTGGTCTTATTTACAGCACATGGGATTTTTTTTTTTTTTGTAATTTTATTGATTTAGCTTAGGCTGTGTTGGGTCTTCTTTGCTGCGAGGGCTTTCTCTAGTTGTGGTGAGCAGGGGTACTCTCTAGTTGTGTTGCACAGGCTTCTCATTGTGCTGGCCTCCCTAGTTGCAGAGCACAGGCACGGACTCTAGGTGTGTGCGCTCAGCAGTCACAGCTCCCTGGCTCTAGAGCACAGGCTCAGTAGCTGTGGCACATGGGATTAGTTGCTCTGTGGCAAGTGGGACCTTCCTGGATCAGGTATCGAACCTGTGTCTCCTGCATTGGCATGCCTGCCATGTCTTTACCACTGAGCCACTAGGTAAGCCCAGCACACAGGATCTTAACTGCAGTCTGCAGGATCTAGATCCCTGACTGGGGATTGAACCTGGGCCCCCTGCATCGGAAGCTCAAAGTCTTAGCTACCAGACCACCAGGGACATCCTGTGTTGTCTTTTAATTTTTACAGTTATGTGAACATTCTTCCCCCCACATGATGAAGGTATTATTATTATATTATTTTTTATTATAAAATCATATTTGTGTATGTTTTTATATATGTCTCTACACACACACACACACACACACACACACACACACACACACACACATGCATATTGTGGCTGCACTGAGTGGCTTGTGGAATCTTAGTTCCCCAACCAAGGATTTTACCCACACCCTCGCAGTAGAAGCACAGAGTCCAAACCCACTGGACCACCAGGGATTTCTGAAAGTATTATTATTACCTACATTTTAATTTAAAGAAACTAAGGCACAGAGAGGTGCAGTGACTAAAAGACATATTGGCAAGGAGTAGACCCAGCTAGTCTGGCTTAAGAAGCTCTTAAACCCCAGTGCCCACCTCTACTGTGCATTATGTGCCACGACAGCCTCCTTCCCTGGCATCTGTGGGATCTGGTGCTTTATTAGACATGGTGAGTGTGGAAGAGCTACAAACAGTGTGACTCCCAGCTTTCTGACTTAGCCAATGGATGGGGTATGTGGCAGTGCCGTCAGGTCTTGAGATGGAAAACAGGAGAAATGGTCTGTGGGGAAAGGCAAGGTGTTTAGTATCAGATTATTAAGGTTAAGTGTTAGTTGCTCAGTCGTGTCTGACTCTTTGTGACCCTATGGAGTGTGGCTCACCAGGCTCCTCTGTCCATGGGATTCTCCAGGCAAGAATACTGGAATGGGTTGCCCTGCCCTCCTTCAGGGGATCTTTCTTACCTAGAGATCAAACCCAGGTCCTACATTACCATTCCCAAGGTAGACTCCAGTATTCTTGCCTGGGCAATCCCAGGGCCAGAGGAGCCTGGCAGGCTACAGTCCATGGGGTATCAAAGACTCCAAATGGACTCAGCAGCAACATCTGTGAGGCACCCATGGAGGGATTTCCAGAGAGTGTTCGGCCACAGGGACTTGAATCTCAGGAGTATGTCTGGGTGTACCTTAAATTCATACTATACTACTAAGTATTTTAAATGACCCAAGTTTGTTCCTTCTTTATGCCTGAGTAATATTCCAATAAGCAGCTTCTTGACAGGCATCACCGAGTACAATTTAATGGCAGAAACCAAACAGTCTCTGGTTCCCAAGAGAGAAAGTTTGCCCCACAGTGCTCATTCCTACTGGGGATGCTGAATCACAGCTGCACGGTCTGGCCCTCTTGCAGCTTCAGCCTGAAACTGGCAGCTGTGTGTTAGAACAGCTATTCCCCATGGTCCATCATGGAACAGGATTGGGCTTCTCTTGGCAGGGAGGCAGTTTCCACCACGGACCAAGGACTGTGAGCTGAGTCCCACTACAGAACAGATACCATACTATGAGTGATTGCGAACACTGCTCTCTAGTACCATGGTGACCAGCACTTATGAAGAGTGGCCAAGAAGAAAGTGGCTTTTGCATTTGTTGAGGAAGATTGGCACCATCTGAGCTTACCATAAAGCTTATGGGGAAAGTGTTGATCATGTGGACTCTGAACCAAAACTGCATGTCATAGTCCCAAGGGCCATGATTGTGAAAGTGAGTCTTGCTGCAGAGGTACTGTGGCAGTTAGAACATTCAAGCTAATTACTAAGAGCATTCCAGACAAAAACTGCTTGAGCAACTTCTTTGGATTGAATTTTTTTTTAAAGTTTGGCCTCACTCCAAACTTTTTGAAGTCATGTGGGATCTTAGTTCTCCAACCAGGGATCGAACCCACGACCCCTGCATTGAAAGGCAGAGCCTTAAAACCCGGACCACCAGGGAAGTCCCCCCTTGGATTGAACCTTAACCTGAAACAAAATGTCAGAAATGGCATGCCATGGATGGCTCAAGACTGTGTTCATTACTGGCTTTATCTATGCTGTGTCAGTGTCTGTTTCCTGACGCTGCAGTAATAAATCACCATAAACTGGTGTTCAGAACAACATGAGCTTATTCTCCTACCGTACTAGAAACCAGAAGTCTAAAAGGGGTCTTATTTGGCAAAACCAATTGGTTTGCAGAGCTGTGTTTCTTTTGGAGACTCTAGGAAGGGAGAATCAATTTTTGGCCTTTTCTAGCTTCTAGGGACTTTATGTGGTTTTTGGGGGGCTTTTGGCTTCTGCCTTACCTCTCTCAGACCTCTGCTTCCTTCATCACATCTCCTCTGACTCTGACTTGCCTGCTGCCCTCTTTAAGGACCTGGGTGATTTCATGGGATCTGATGAGGTTTTCCAGGTTAATGTCCATATATCAAGTTCTTTATTTAATCACATCTGAAGTGTTTCTTTAGCCAGGTAAGGTGCCATACCCACAGGTTCCAGGGTTAAAGATGTGGCTGTCTTTGGGGTCAATTATTCTACCATGGTAAATTTTTTAAAAAGCATGATCGGGTTCAGAAGGCCTCCTATGCTCAGCACCTAGTGGTCTGTCAAATCTGGAAAATGATAGACCAGATTTGTGATCCTGACCAGAGAGGTACAGAAAAATGACTTGAAACACGTGGTAAATAAGATGACACCAGGCAGCATGTGAAAGGCTTACAAGAGGCTTGCTAGTCTATTTATCCTTTCCATCATGTGTTTGTTCTGAAAAGGCACAACTTTGAGGAAAACTAATGGAGCTTCATAAGGACACATAGTTCTTGAAGAGGATCCCTGGAGTTGAATGAATTGATAAATATGAGCTTGAGAGAGTCAGTTCCTGGGCAGGTTGATAAGAAGTCTGGGGTCCCCAAGGAGCAGATAGGAGCCTGGAGTTCTGAAGGAGGAGAAAAGGACACTTTTTTTTTTTTTCTACATTGCTTTCTCATAGTTAATACAACATTGTATCCTGCTTGAGGACATGTTCCCCCTTCTTGAGAACCTTCTGACTAATCCTGTCATCTTAAAATGTATATTATGGGAGTGGGTCTGTTAAGAACTTTACAGCCTGAGACATTCTTTTGATTTATTGTTAATAACCAGTTGAAAAGTATATAGCTCCGTTGTGAAGACTAGCAAGGGGGGCACTCTCTGTCTCCCTTCTGATGTCTATGTCAGAAGCTTTCTTTGTCCCTTTTTATACTTTAAGAAAACTCTGAAAAAAATGAAATAGCTGATAAAAAAAAAATAAAGAAAACTCTGCTACATATAAGCTCTTGAGTGATCAAGCCTGGTCCCTGGTCCCAAGCTAAATCTTCTTCAGAGATCCAACGTATCCAACATTGTTCATCTGTAAGCTATCAAGCTCATGACGTGAAATCTATTCAATGGTCAGAACTTATCATTGGAGACAGATAAAAAGTCTTGTGCATGCATGCATGCTAAGTTGCTTTATTTGTGTCTGACTCTTTACCAACCCCATGAACTGTAGCCCACCAGGCTCCTCTGTCCAGGGGATCCCAGGCAAGAATACCGGAGTGGATTGCCATGCCCTGCTTCAGGGTATCCTCCCGACCCAGGAATTGAACCCAGGTGTCCTGCATTTCAGGTGGATTCTTTACCATCTGAGCCACTAGGGAAGCCCAGTGACAAAAATTTACAATAAAGGCTATCTTTCATCTATTTAATTTCAAAGTCCTCAGGACTCACTGATCCGGGGGCACTTAAGTCTCCCAGGCTAATAGCCTTCCTTGTATGTGGGCTATTTCTGCAGTGATTAAAGGAAGCACTGGAACATATTTTCTGTGGTAGTGATTCAAGGGCGACCCAGAAGCTGACCCAGGACAAGGTTTCAAGTCCAAGGAGGTGACTCAGAGGGAGAGGACCAGCAGGGCAGTGGGAGAAGGGGTGAGGAAGAGAGATAACCAGCTGCCTATATCATCCAGTGAGATACTGTGGCATGTGACTGGAGATTAACCTCAGGAGATTAACTTCAGGAGATTAACGTTCCTCTAGAGGAAGCAGGTGGCTGACACCTCTCTGCCCCAGGCACCATCATTTCTTGGCAATTCAGTGAAAAGCAAAGGAATCTAGAGGCAAGAGAAAGCTCCCCGGCCACAAAATGCAGATCTGGCAGTTCAAAGTGATGGTCTAGTGAAGTGGTAACGGCTGGGGGGCTGGGGGTGGGCCTAACCTCTACACAGCCACTTGAATGGTTTCCTGGGGAGGCTTTCTCTTCCCCTAACGTTACCACAGTTAAAACTGGAAGAACCAGACTGAGGCGGGCATCAGCGGCATGCTACTGCAGTTATATTTTAGAACAAAAGGAGATGATTACCAGAGACCAACTTTTGGTGTCTCAAAACATTCCATCAGAGTCTGCACTTGGGAGTATTTTGTAAAATGACACTTACATGATGTCAAATGAAACAACGGATTTTTTAAAAAGATCTTGACAAGTAATACTGAGAAGAAAGGCTAGTAAGCATAAATTTTCACATTGTGGACTTCCTTGTCGTCACACTCCCTCTGTTTGTTGTAGTAATAGAAAGTATTGTCCCTTCTCTGAAGCTTCTTCACATATCCTGTCTCTGGCCAACGATCTACCTGTACATCCAAAACCAAAACACAAATATTGTAATGGTCCTTTTATATAATTGTTCACTATCAAACATTTAAAAATGCAAGTCACATCAAACAATGAAAGCACAAAATTAAAAAATACTTGAGCTCTTAGTGATGTCTTACACTTGTAGACACATAGACACACACACATAAAAAACACACATACAACACACTTGTCTCACATTGTAACCTTATAGTGAAGGACAATTAGTTCAATGCTTCTCCCTAGATCCCAATTTCTAGGTTTAAATTTCTACTCTGCAACCAAGATAAAACATTCATAATAATCTAAGCTTTATTCATCTTATATTTACAAACTATTTTAAGCATTATTACTTACTAACTTCTGAAAATAATACCTAAGGAGGGAATTAGGGCTAGGCCGAGGCAACAGGAAGAAGCTAGCCTGGATGTCTATAAAGGTGAATGTGTATCTCATGTCCATATTTCAAGTGCACACCTTGAAACTCAATTTTTCATAGAAATTTGAGGTAATGAACAAAGTCTTCAGCGATCTCTTCTTAGCTTCTCCTCCTTAGTTTTTCTCATTTGCCATATTGGTTTGCTTACTTGATTGTTTGGCTTAATCCAGTTTGGACCTTTTTTTTCCCCTTCCTCTGTGAATTCACATTATACCTTCTTGCTCAGGTCAGTGCATTTCTGCTCTGGTTAGATATGTTGCTTCTGGATGATGTGACATCTACTCCATCACTGTCAAAACCCAATTATTTGGATTTTGTGTTCATGGCATTCAAAACCAAGTCCTGTTCTTCAACATCATCTCTACTGGCAGCTACTCATTCTCCAGACTTATAAATCACAACTTCCAAGCTGGAGTACAAAGGCTCCACAAATATAAATGAATGTACATCTTTTATTTTCTAACAACGTATTTTTGCTTTCTCCTGTTGTCTCATTTATTTAGGAGTTAGCAAGAATGGGTAGCAGCCTATCTGATGAACCCTGGCAGGCTCTCTGACAGGTACCTCACACAGAAAAGCGATGTTTTCCATCACTTAGGTCTAGCCTGTTTGACTTCGTGGTTTCCGTTACCCTCAGCAGAGAAAGGAAGAAGTTCTTGAGACACCATTACTGCTCTGTTCCTCTTGGGGCCAACAGCAGGCTCTCTCATTTACTAGGGTGCCCCAACCACCTCATTCAGTGAAGAAGCAGTAGACCGCTGCTGCTTTAGAATTACCCACAGCTCATCATGTGGAGTGACAGGAGGAGACAGGTGGGCCCAGGCTGGGCAGCTGCGGCCACCTCTCCTGCTGACACTTTGAGGTAAGAGACCAGCAGGACGAGAGCCCGGACTGGAGTGGAAGACAAAGCGACCACATTTTTCTCATTCTTGTGGTCAAGGGGATTTCCCGGCTGGACACATGCACAGAGGAGGTCATCAGTCTCAGGAGACAGAAGAGGGGGAGCCACCAGCTCACAGTATGTCCTGCCAATCTCCCAGACGCCTTTGCGCTGGAATCCATCTTGGGTGAGAGATACACACGCATCCACCACGAAGGACCTTAAGTAAGACCAAATGTGGGCACAAACAAGGTGGGTAGTCAGGGATAACCCAGGCGACTGCCCCCTACGTCAGCGACCTAAGCCACCGCTACTGGGTACAGCTCACTCTGAGCCTGCCCGGGTGTTCCTGTACAGGTTCTTTGCTTCCAATAAACACTTTATGTGTTTCACAGTCTCTCTGCTGAATTTTTCTTCAAGGAAGACAAGGACCAAGGTCCTGCTTCCAGCTGCCTTGTCCCTGGAAATCAGGAGGGGCCTCCAAGTAGCTATATTGGTTTTGTCTCATCAACCTCTAGGCTTTTTTCCTTCTATAACCCTTTGCTGTTTCATAATTTTTCCTTCTTGGCTTTCTACCCATCACTCCCATTCAACCTAGGAAAACTTCATTCCTTAGAGAATGGTGGTGGAGATGGGGTTGGGGGGTTGATATAGTCCTCAAGTCAGTTCTCCTTGGGCAGGAAATCAGTAAGTACTGATGGTGTCTATAAGGACATGTACTTCAGATAAGAGCAAAGACCATCGCTCAAGCCCTTCAGACTACTGCCAATCAAAGCAAGTCTTTGGTTATCATCCTGTCCATCCTCTATAGCCCACTGCAAATGCCTCTTGGGGCACAAAGCCCTTTTGGAAGATTGTCCCTAAAGAAAGAAATTTTTATCTTCCTTTAATTTGGGGGGGTGGGCATATATTTTCACTCATGTAAGTTTTCATTGTTCGTCACTCTTAATCCTCCACTCCAAGATATAAGAATAATAAGAGCTATCATTCGCCAAACACCATTCACTCAATGAATTGCTGCTGAGCACCACAAAATCAGGTATTTCCAATGCTTGATTTCATTTAATTTCTGAGCCATTTTTCCAAAGCAGTCTCTAGCATTGCCCTTTTACTCTTGAGCTTGGCAAGGTAAGCATGAACCTGGTTCAGGGTTACCCAGCCAAGGAAGAGAGCCAGGATGCAAAACCTGGGCAGGCTGGTTTCACATCTGTACTCTTTCCACTGACTCACTAAATTTCCTGAGGTCAGGCACTTGATTTTATATTTATCTTTTTAAAGCTCCTGGCACAGAAACTGGTACAGAGCAGGTACCCAAAAATTATACACAGAAGTGAAATACAAAACGTCTCTGTAATTGTTCAGTCATTCAACGGATAGTGGTGTTCTTCCCTTCATTATACACACATACACACATAAATCCCTCAGGTGCTTTTCAGGGACTTCCTCTTTAAAGATGTTCTTTGTGCTCCCTTAAATCTAATCTCATGTCTGAACTCAGTCCCAACAGTTTCTGGAATGGTGGTATAGGTGCAGGAGTGCCTGTATGTCCCTGGGTCTTATATACTTTTCAGGGGCATCCTAGTGTGAAGGCAAGGGATATGGAGCTTATTTCTGACCTGCAGTAAAATGTTAATGCTTGTGTTTTGCCTATTTAAAAGCCACAGATAATAAAGTAATGAAAACTCCCTTTTGGTAATGTGGACCAAAGTGTAAAATGCTACTAGAATTGGAAAAATGGATATAGGAAGGTCACAGTCATCAGTCAAATCCTCATTTGATCAGTATTTTTAATTTTATACCTCATCACTGCTTCTCTATTAAGCTAACGTCCATTAAACAAAAGAGTCTATTACACAGATGAAGGCTCTGTGTTGCCTTCATCCTTTTTTTCTGTCTAGTTTTTAGGAAATGTTGAGTAGAGATCAACAAGTAGAATGAAGAAAGAAAAAGAATAAGGGGATCTGGAAAACTTGCCCATGAATGAGTCTCTGAAAAATAGTGAGTTAATAATAGTAAAACAATTTAAAAATAAACAAATAATAAACACTTTGTGGTAATATCAACTCTAAAACCTAATATACATTTATGAATACTATATCATATTCTATAATATTCCTCAAAACTCAGTCTCCCCATATTCAGTAGAATAAATGAATTTTTAAAAACACATTATAAACTGGGGCCATATCTAGATTTTGTCTAGTCTTTGAAAAGCAAAACCATGTCTCCACTCTCCCAAGAAAGCCTGGAGTAAGCAGCCAAAGTCAGGAGATTTTGTTGCGTAAGGCAGAATTTGGTAAGTCAACTGATAAGGGCTTTGTGCCCCAAGAGGCATGTGCAGTGGGCTATAGAGGATGGACAGGATGATAACCGAAGTCTTCTGCAATGCAGGAGAATCACTTTGATTCCTGGGTTGGGAAGATCCACTGGAGGAGGGCACGGCAACCTACTCCGGTATTCTTGCCTGGAGAATCACCATGGACAGAGAAGCCTGGCAGGCTACAGTCCACGGGGTTGCAGAGTCAGACACGACTGAGCAACTAAGCACAAAATTTGCAGTTGAAATAAAGAAAAATACAGGAAGGAAACAAACTGAACATCTGATAAGAGAACTTATCAGAACTCTCACCCTTGTGAGAGAAAGAGATGGGGGCTTTTATGGCCTGCCATAAAGGATTTGACTGGCACAGCACAGTTGCTCAGTAAAAGCTGGAAAATTTTTAATGTTTCTGTGCTGAGACCTCTTGCTGCAGTCTACCTGAAAATCATTCTTCTGAACCTTAGTCTCTTTATCAATAAAATCAGGGGGTTGGGGTAGAATTCCCTTTCAGTATTCTCTAGTGCTTTGTTGGTGGTGGGTTTTCTGTTTGTTTTTATTTTTTAGTGCTTTTCACCCTCTAACAAATTCATTTTGAGTTCAGATTTGTAGAGACATAAATCTTACCATAGAAACTTGCTTCACTTGTTTATATTCAATTTCATCTCGATATCCTGCTTGTTGAAATCTGTACAGATTTTCTATCTCTTCTGACCATTTTTTGGCACGACTTATTGATTTTGGTTTCACGTCAGAACCAGCCATGGCTACACAGGTCTTCTTACCAATTATTTCTGAAGGATGTTTAAAAAAAGTTCATTAGATAACACAGTAGTGACAGTTTTGGAAACCCCCTTTAAGAATGAACCAAACTATATCTTTTAAAAATTAGAGTTAAGAATCCCATTTAATAGTTAGCTTTTTAAACATTCAATTCCCAAAGTAAGAAGGATTCATGTTCTATTTTGGAAATAAAGTCAGTCCTGGAGTGATGTCTTAAATGGTGCAGACTGATTCTGGCATTTCAAATAATAGTTTACACATTTCTGAAATCCCTTTCTTATTTTGTTTTTAATTTTATTTATTTATGTTTTTGGCTGTGCTAGGTCTTCTTTGCTGTGCAGGCTTTTCTCTAGTTGCAGTGCAGGCTTCTCATTGCGGTGGTGTCTTTTATTGTAGAGCATGGTCTCTAGGCTGCACAGGCTTCAGTAGTTGAAGCATGTAGGTTTAGTAATTGTGGCCCCCCGGCGACTCAACAGATGTGGTGCACCAGCTTAGCTGCTCCGAGGCACATGGAATCTTCCCACATTAGGGATTGAATCTGTGTCTCCTGCACTGACAAGTGGATTCTTACCACTGAGCCACCAGGGAACCCATCCCTCACTCTCTTATTCTTAACAGCTCAGGAGATTGTCAAAGTATCCTACCGTCACTTCATTTAATCATATTCAAAATTTTATCTCCTTCTTTTTCCCTTAAAAGGGAATGTAAGATCAGTCTTCCTTTTCTTCTTATGGGGAAGCAATGGTTTCCTCCTTTTTCTTTTCTTAACTGTTCAGAAACATGCCACTCACTGCAGTTCAGTAACTCAGGTCACTGTGCTCCGATGTGAGAAAATGGACTATCTATGCTGTCGGTGAAAGCTGTCTCTCTGTCATGGTACTGAGATCACTGATTTTAAAACAACTTAGGAGCAAGACAGCTAAGATGGCGGAGGAATAGGACGGGGAGACCACTTTCTCTCCCCACAAATTCATTGAAAGAACATTTGAACGCTGAGCAAATTCTACAAAACAACTTCTGAATGCTGGCAGAGGACATCAGGCACCCAGAAAGGCAGTCCGGGGAAGGGAGTCTTAAAAGAGAGGTTTCCAGACACCAGGAAATACTCTCACTGGGGAGTCTGTGGCAAGCCTTGGAACCCCAGAGGGCAACAGACCGGGGAGGAAAAACAAATAAATAAGTAAAACCCACAGATTATGTGCCTAGCAGCAACTCCCAGAGGAAAAGCAGCGCAGACGCTCGCATCTGCCACTAGGCAAGCAGGGACGGGACTGGGAGGCGGGGGCTGCATTGCTTAGGGTAAGGACTGGGGCCGAATGCCCCAAGGGCAATCAGAGAGAACTAACTAGAGATAGCAACCCAGACTGTGGGATAGCTATATCGCAAAAAATCCTAAGCTAAGACACCGCCAGGCCCGCTCACAGAACAAAGGACTGAGCAGAGCTAACTGGCTGCAGACTGGCCCATCCCCTGCCGGAGACAGGCAGGTGTGGGCAGCCAGAGCCGGAAGGGGGCATTCGGCCCCAGAGAGGCATCCTCTACCAAACTGCAAGCGGGCTTCGTTGCTAGCCAAGACTTCTTGGGATTCTGGACGGTCGACATCCGCCAGGAGGGTCGCAGCCAGAGATCAGCTCCCCAGAAGAGACACACGGGGCACCTGAGAAGGTGCGCCCATTGTACACCCGAAAACCGAGCAGCTGGGACCGGGGAGGCGATAAGTCGCAGCCTTCAACTGGGGGCGCTTGCGCTCGCAAAGTACCTGGTCACCTGAACTGCTCGGACCTGGGAAGGGAACAAAACGCAGGCCCAACCAAGTCTGCGCCTCTGTGGAGTATCCGAGAACCTGAACCTGAGCGGCTTAGGCCTGGGAAGTGCATGCAACCCAGGGCCCACCTCAGACAGTTCCCGGCAGAGCAACCGAGAGCCTGAGCAGTGTAGACTGGGAAAGTACACACACCATGAGCGGGGGCAAACCCAGTGTGGCCGAGAGACTGTGAGCACATGCCAGCGATATATATTTGCAATGTTCCCCCCTCCCCACAGCACGACTGAACAAGTGAGCCTAAAAAAGTGACCACCACCGCCCCCTTGTGTCAGGGCAGAAATTAGACACTGAAGAGGCCAGCAAACAGAAGAAGCTAAAATAGAGAGAACCGCTTTGGAAGTGACAGGTGCAATAGATTAAAACCCTGCAGTTAGTATCAACTACATAGGAAGGGGCCTATAGATCTTGAGAACTATAAGCCAGATCAAGAAACTATCTGAAAATGAACTGACCCCACAGTCCACAACAACACCAGAGAAAGTCCTAGATATATTTTTGTTATTATCATTTTTTAATTAAAAAATTAAAAAAATTTAAGTCCTCTATTACTCCTTTAATTTTCATTTTTATAACCTACTATTACTTTGCAAAAAAAAAAGAGACCCTACTTTTAAAGCAAACCTCATATATATATATTTTATAATTTTTGTGACTTTGTTTTTTTCTTTAATGTTGTATTTTTGAGAATCTAACCTCTACTCCAGATTTTTAATCTTTGCTTTTTGGTTTTTGTTATCAGTTTTGTACCTTTAAGAACCCAATCTTCAGTACCCATTTTTACTTGGGAGCGAAATTACTGGCTGGAGTGTTCTCTCCCCCTTTGGACTCTCCTTTTTCTCCACCAGGTTGCCTTTATCTCCTCCCTCTCCCTTCTCTTCTCTACCTAACTCTGTGAATCTCTTTGTGTGTTCCAGGCTGTGGAGAACACTTAGGGAACTGATTACTGGAAGGATCTGTCCCTCTCTTTTTGATTCCCCCTTTTATCCTCCTGGCCACCTCTGTCTCCTTCCTCCCTCTTCTCTTCTCTGTGAAACTCCGTGAACATCTCTGAGAGATCCAGACTGTGGAGAGCACATAGGGAAGTGATTACTGGCTAGCTTGCTCTCTCCCCTTTTGATTCCCCCTCTTCTCCTCCTAGTCACCTCTATCTCCCTTCTCCCTCTTCTCTTCCCCATGTAACTCTGTGTACCTCTCCGGGTATCCCTCGCTGTGGAAAAACTTTTCATCATTAACCTAGATGTTTTATCATCAGTGCTGTATAGATGGAGAAGTCTTGAGGCTACTGTAAGAATAAGACTGAAAACCAGAGGCAGGAGGCTTAAGTCCAAATTCTGAGAACACCAGAGAACTCCTGACTCCAGGAAACATTAATTGATAGGAGCTCATCAAACGCCTCTATACCTACACTGAAACCAAGCACCACCCAAGGGCCAACAAGTTCCAGAGAAAGACATAACATGCAAATTCTCCAACAACACAGGAACATAGCCCTGAACTTCAATATACAGGCTGCCCAAAGGAACACCAAACCCACTGACATCTCAAAACTCATTACTGGACACTTCATTGCACTCCAGAGGGAAGAAATCCAGCTCCACCCACCAGAACACCGACAAGCTTCCCTAACCAGGAAACCTTGATAAGCCACCCATCCAACCCCACCCACAGCGAGGAACCTCCACAATAAAGAGGAACCACAGACTACCAGAATACAGAAAGGCCACCCCAAACACAGCAATATAAATAAGGTGAAAAGGCAGAGAAATACCCAGCAGGTAAAGGAACAGGATAAATACCCACCAAACCAAACAAAAGAGGAAGAGGTAGGGAATCTACCTGATAAAGAATTCCAAATAATGATAGTGAAAATGATCCAAAATCTTGAAAATAAAATGGAGTTACAGATAAATAGCCTGGAGACAAGGATTGAGCAGATGCAAGAAATGTTTAATAAGGACCTAGAAGAAATAAAAAAAGAGTCAATATATAATGGATAATGCAATAAATGAGATCAAAATCACTCTGGAGGGAACCAACAGTAGAATAATGGAGGCAGAAGATGGGATAAGTGAGGTAGAAGATAGAATGGTAGAAATAAATGAAACAGAGAGGAAAAAAGAATTAAAAGAAATGAGGACAACCTCAGAGACCACTGGGACAATGTTAAACGCCCCAACATTCGAGTCATAAGAGTCCCAGAAGAAGAAGACAAAAAGAAAGACCGTGAGAAAATACTCGAGGAGATAATAGTTGAAAACTTCCCTAAAATGGGGAAGGAAATAATCGCCCAAGTCCAAGAAACCCAGAGAGTCCCAAACAGGGTAAACCCAAGGCGAAACACCCCAAGACTCATATTAATCAAATTAACAAAGATCAAACACAAAGAACAAATATTAAAAGCAACAAGGGAAAAACAACACACAAGGGGATTCCCATAAAGATAACAGCTGATCTTTCAATATAAACTCTCCAGGCCAGAAGGGCATGGCAGGACATACTTCAAGTGAGGAAAGAAAAAACCTATAGCCCAGATTACTGTGCCCAGCAAGGATCTCATTCAAATATGAAGGAGAAATCAAAAGCTTTACAGACAAGCTAAAGCTGAGAGAATTCAGCACCACCAAACCAGCTCTCCAACAAATGCTAAAGGATCTTCTCTAGACAGGAAACACAGAAAGGGTGTATAAACTCTAATCCAAAACAATAAGTAAATGGCAACGGGATCATACTTATCAATAGTTACCTTAAATGTAAATGGGTTGAATGCCCCAACCAAAAGACAAAGGCTGGCTGAATGGATACAAAAACAAGACCCCTATATATGTTGTCTACAAGAGACCCACCTCAAAACAAGGGACACATATAGACTGAAAGTGAAGGACTGGAAAAAGATATTCCATGCAAATAGAGACCAAAAGAAAGCAGGAGTAGCAATACTCATATCAGATAAAATAAAATTTAAAACAAAGGCTGTGAAGAGACAAAGAAGGACACTACATAATGATCAAAGGATCAATCCAAGAAGACATAACAATTATAAATATATATGCACCCAACATAGGAGCACTGCAATATGTAAGACAAATGCTAACAAGTATGAAAAGGGAAATTAACAATAACACAATAATAGTGCGAGACTTTAATACCCCACTCACAACTATGGATAGATCAACTAAACAGAAAATTAACAAGGAAATACAAACTTTAAATGATACAGCAGACCAGTTAGACCTAATTGATATCTATAGGACATTTCACCCCAAAATAATGAATTTCACCTTTTTCTCAAGTGCACACGGAACCTTCTCCAGGATGGATCACATCCTGGGCCATAAATCTAGCCTTGGTAAATTTTTAAAAATTGAAATTATTCCAAGCATCTTTTCTGACCACGATGCAGTAACATTATATGTCAATTACAGGAGAAAAACTATTAAAAATTCCAACATATGGACGCTGAACAACACGCTGCTGAATAACCAATAAATCACAGAAGAAATTTAAAAAGAAATCAAAATATGCATAGAAATGAATGAAAATGAAAACACAACAACCCAAAACCTATGGGACACTGTAAAAGCAGTGCTAAGGGGAAGATTCATAGCATTACAGGCCTACCTCAAGAAACAAGAAAAAAGTCAAATAAATAACCTAACTCTACACCTAAAGCAACTA